TTCAGGTATTGGAAGGCTGCTATAAGATCATGCTTGTCTTGTATCTGTCTTCTCCATCCTTTCCAGTTTTCAGCTGCGAGCACCAGCTCTTCCTATCTGTTGGCTTACGAAGTTCTTGTCATTATCTTGCCTTTTCATCAGTACATTCACATAAACATAAGGCATTGAGTTTCTCTTGATGTTCCCTTACCATTCCCTTAATCTGGACCAACCTGTGCGTTTTCAGCCTATGGAAAGGAGACCCAGGTGACCTGCTGCCTGTCTGTTTCCATCTTTCTCTGCTTCCATAACTTCTGAACCTTTTGGCCACTTTCAGTCAAATTAAGCAGATGTTTTGAAGCTATAAACGTTCTACAGATCTTGCGATAAGTGGCAGCTGAGGAATAGTAACAAGGTCTAAATTAACATTCTTGCTGAGGGAAGGGCCATGGCACCTGCTCATGGACAGTTCTGCTCTGCCTGTGCCATGAGGTGACCAGTGGGTGGGTCAGTGGGTGTCGTTGGAGCAGCAACCACACCGACTACCTCCCACCATCAGCGGCTGGTGGGTATGAAGGAGGTGGCAGTGTGATTGAAAGGGTTTGTGAGATAAGGAGCTATATACATAGCAGGTAGTCAGGAGTATTGTAACTTATGTATCCTGTGATACAGGACAGAAATTGTTGGTGCTTTTTTTTGTCACCAGTGTTCACAAGGAAAAAGCAGATAATGCTGCCTTGTGGTTGAAATCACAATGAGCCCAATTACGTTCCATCCCTTTTCTTTTAATCCCACCTCCTCTATTTTGTTTTTATATGAGCAAATGTCACATATGTCTATAAAACAGAATTTTGAGTTCCTAAAATCAGTAAGAGTTTGAGTAGTGTAATGATTTTGGTAAGAGACCATGTTGTTAAAAGTTAGGTTTGTAGCTGGATATTTTGTTTTGTTCCCCCCCACCCCATTGTAATTGAATTGCCCTTCTCACAACGGGGGGGACAAAGGTAAAAGCTGGAGGATTGGAATTGTGGCATCTTTTCAGTGCTTCTTTACTCAAACAACCCTTTTTCCTCGAATGTTTTCTTTTTAAACTTATCTCCCAATTTATTATCTTTCAGGATCTAGCAGGTTGGTTTTTTTAAAATGAATGTGTTACTCTATTTTTTGTTTAATAGACTTCTTGGTGGAAAACCATTATAATACAATTATTGGAAAGTCTCATGCAAAGTTCTAATGGGCCTAATCTTACTAATAAGATACTTTGTTGATGTTTAAATGCTAAAAGCTTCCCTTTCAAGCCCTTTTTCTTAAAAACAGTGAGAGAGATAGTTTAGCTGCCTCAAACTGATGGAATTTCTGATATGGATTTGTTTTGAATTTGAATTTGAAACAGAACATGTAGAGGATTTGCATCTCCCACATGGATCTGTGAGGAACAGAGCCCGCTTAACTGGCAAACAGAGATGGAAAAATTAGTTCAGACCTTTAATATGAAGAAATTTGGGGGGCTGTTTAGTTGTTTGGATTTTTTCCCTTGGTTAGGCACTGTTTTAATAATAATACTGTTTCAATACTGTTATCAGTACTTTTGAAATCCAAGTAGTTCTGAGGTATTGAGCTGTGAAATCTTCTAGTTGTAGACATGCATCAGGGAGCCAAATTTGCTAGTACTTGTTTAAGCAACGCTGATTTGATTGGTCTCACTTCCATAAATCAGTATCAGAAACATTTCTTCATTGGTGCTGTTGCCAACTGCTGTCACAGAGGCCAAGTCCTGGATAGGTTTTCCATTGGTAAGTTCTCTCTGCCCACGTGTGAATATACAGTGAATTTTTGCAAACAAATTTTTTTTTAGAAGACCTGGACAAACATCTTGCAAATTATCATAGAATCACAGAATGGTTTGGGTTGGAAGGGACCTTAAAGATCATCCAGTTCCAACCCCCCTGCCAGCAGCAGGGACACCTTCCACTAGACCAGGTTGCTCAAAGCCTCATCCAACCTGGCCTTAAACACTTCCAGGGAGGAGCAGCCACAACTTCCTTGGGCAACCTGTTCCAGTGTCTGACCACCCTCACAGTGAAGAACTTCTTCCTAATATCTCATCTAAACCTCCCCTCTTTCAGTTTAAACCCATTTCCCCTTGTTTTGTCACTAACTGTCCTTATGAAAAGTCCTTCCCCAGCTTTCTTGTAGGTCCCTTCAGGTACTGGAAGGCTGATATAAGATCTCCCCAGAATATATAATAATATATTATATATTATAATGCAGCGTTCCACGTAGGATAGTCAGTATATGAACCTCTCATGTTATGCTTTGGGGTGGGAGAGCAAATGTGGAATACTTACTTAGAAACAGAGATTTTCTTTAGTATGATGTCTTATTTATAAAGATCTTTCAAAATAGTTAAAAAATAATACTAGAAGCACTCTACAGTAGATTGGAATGCAGGTGTCTCAGTATCCACTTTCTTGAGGAGGTGCAGGAAATATGTGAATCTAGTATATTTTCACCATCGAGTGAAATGTCTGAACGGCACAAGTAGGGGTGGCAGCTGGGAGTCAAACTAATGGGTGTTACTAACGAGGACTAAGCAGTGGTTCTTTAGGGAGCATCGTGTGCAATCATGTCCCATCAGTCCCACCTGTATATGCATTTAACTTGAAGCACATAAATATGTTAAAATTGTTTTTTCTTTTAAGAAATTAATTTTGCCTGAAGTAAATGAGGCTTAGGTGGTTCTGGTGGCCTCTTTCAGGCCTGTCTGGCCTTATCTTATCCTGCACAGGAGTCGATGGCCCTGCGTTAAGGCCAGGTGTGTTCTAGACTGTAGTAACAGGAGCTACCCAGCAGTTGAGGAAGGTGAGCTTTCCCCTCTATTTGGTACTTACAAGACCACATCTGGACACCACATCCAGATGTAGATTCTCTGTTCTGAGAAAGGCATTGACATGCTGGAGCAAGTCCACTGAAGGGCCACCAAGGTCGTTAGGAGGCTGGAGGACATGATATCTGAAGAGAGACTGAGAGAACTGGGTTTCTTCATCTGTAGGAAGAGAAGGGGAGGTCTTATTAGTGTCTACAGCAACCTAACAGGAGAGTATAGAGAAGATGCAACTGGGTTCTTCTCAGAGTTGTACAGGGATAGGATGAGAAGGAATGGACAGAAGATGAGGCATAGCAAGTTCCAGGGTGATACTAGGAAAAGCTTTTTCACAGTGTGGTTATTCAGGTACTGGATCAGGGTCCTGCAGGGGACCATTGTATCTCCAGCCTTGGAGATACTCAAAACTTACCTAGCCAAGTCCCTGATCTGATTTGACCTGCTTTGAGCAAGGGAGTGCACTAGGTGACCTCCAGAGTTTCATTCTAATCTCAATTATTCTGTGATTCTGTCCTGTTTTGTTCAGGTGATAATTTCACTGGGGTGGCCCTTGGCCAGCAGCCAACGCAGCCGTTCACCCACTTCCCCCTGCAAAGGGAACAGGGGAGAGGATTGGGGCAAGGGTGAGGATACTCACAGGTTGAGATAAAAACAATTTAATAATAGAAATAAAAGAAAACTTAAAATAATACTATGATTAAAATAGCAGTGATAATGATAACAGCAACAAAATATACAAATGAGTGATGCCCAGTGCAACTGGTCACCACCCACTGACCAAACCCGGCCTGTTCCCACATAATGAACCTGGAGGAGCGACAATCCTGAACCAAAGCCACAATCCTGGAAGAGTGGGAGCCTGAGCAAAAGCCAGAGGGAGCCAAAAGAGGAGAAGACCCTCACTAATATACTGGACATGATATGATAGGGAATATCCCACTGGCATAACCAAATGCCAGCTTAGCTTATTAATTTAAATATCCCTCACTCCCTTAGATCTTGCGCTTGATCTTAGATCTAGACTAACAGAACACAACGTCCTTCACTTCCAGTGACAAAAATGAAATCACTGGTGTGTTATCAGTGTTTCTTCCTTAACAAAACCCAGGCTGAAAGCAAAACACAGCGCTATTCCAGCTACTAAAAAGAAGCCCAGCTCTGTTCCAGCTAAAAACCAGAACAGTTCAATATTTGTTGTCTTTTGGATCTTTAGCCAAATTAAACTAAAGCTTAGAGGACAAGAAAGAGCAAGGATGCTACAGCTCCTACAAGTCCCCGGAAAAACATTGGTTGAGTAGAAAAAGGTGCAAATTGGAGCCTTTGATAACTCTTGATAACTGCAGCTTTTGTGTTGTGATTTCCACTTGTTCTGCTGGCAGGGAGATCTGTGCATCCACGTCAGTCAGCACAGCGTGCTCCTCCAGCTGGTACTTGTGCTTGAGGTGAGCAGGGACATCTCGGGAGGGGTGAGGAAAGAGGGGAACGAGATGATGCCTTTTCACAGTGAGGACAGTCAGACATTGGGTCAGGTTGGCTGGAGAGGTTGTGCAGTCTCCTGTGCAGTTTTCAAGATGAGCCTGGAGCAATCTTGTCTGACCTCATAGTTGACCCTGGTTTGAGCAGGAGGCTGAAGCACTTGAGGTCCCATCTAACCTACATTACCCCATGATCCTAAGTAGAGGTAGTGGAAGGAGGAGATGTGTAGCAAGATCACTGAGGTGCAGGTGCTTGCTGATGAATCAAATACTTTTATTCATTTTTAAGTTGGGGATACTTTGCTTTCATCGATCTTGTTTGGGTTTTTTTTCAGATGGACTTCTGTTTATGTTCCAAGATCTTGTATTCTTCAAGTTGCAGAAACTTCAAGTGCTTTTATTGCACAATTCACACTGAAGACAACTTCACAATATAGCACTATAATGATATTATTAGTTTTTACATGTTGTTAGGTCCATTCCTTAGTTCAAGACAACTTACTTTAAACCTGTATTTTATTCAGCTGAGTCAGGCATTTGTGAGTTATCTTACTTAGTTAAGAACTAAGTGAGTATGGGTGGCTGTGAAAGTGACTTTAATATATCAACAAGTCTAAAGTACTTATTTTCCTATGTTTCTGCAGACTTGCCTGGGTAACACAATGCCAGCTGAGCGCAAGAAACCAGCAAATATGGAAGAAAAAGAATCCCCATTAAATAATAAAGAAAAAGAATTCAGTGAAAGGCGACCAGTGAGCACCAGGGAGAAGCCAAAAGAAGATGTCAAGGTTGGCATGAAGAGAGAGACTTTAAAGGTTCCTGAAGATAAAAAGAAAAAACTGGAAGAGGATAAAAGAAAAAAGGAAGACAAGGAGCGGAAGAAAAAAGAAGAGGATAAAGTAAAAGCAGAAGAGGAGCAAAAGAAGAAAGAAGAAGAAGAAAAAAAGAAACTTGAAGAGGAGGAGAAAAAGAAACAAGAGGAGGAAGAGAAAAAGAAACAAGAAGAAGCAGCTGCTCAATTGAAGTAAGTTGGCTTTTGATGGTTTAATTGTGCCAGATGCTGTAGTCCTGCTGTCAGGATTGTGGGAAGAATTATCTTTTGTAATAATTGAGTTACTTATAAGTTATATGTAGTGTTATAAATTTCACATGGCTAGCTGAGTATGCTTTGTGACTTTTACGTAGTTTTGAGTTTTCATCTCTAACCTCTATTATTTTAGTCTCTAATACAGGTTTTTGATTGTGTTCTCCATGTGATGGCCATGTAATGCACAATTATGCTTCAGTAAAGAATCTTGGTTTCTTTTGAGATGGAGAAGTGTTAGTGTCATAAAACTGGGAGTGGAGGCTTTAACAGGTCTGCAGACGTAACAGGAGCAGATCTACTCTGAGGGATGGGTGTGATTTCTTTTAATCAATCATAGACAATTGATAGCTGGATGGCAAACACAGAACGTAACCTGGCAGTTTAATATGTGATATGAAACCAAGACAGTGTTTCTTAGTGTGTTATCAAAAGGTACTGCAGTGTTGAAGGCAGCATATTTAGACCAATAAATCCAAGATTCTGGACATTTTTGGGTTTTAAATATATCACTTTCTAAGACTGAAGCAATGTCGTAGCTGAATTCTAGCTGGGACAGATGCATTTCACCTATTTCAAATTTTCTGTGTAATTTCAGTAGTCTGGGAGAGAAAGATTTCCCTTAACAGTGTAACACAGTAACCTGTTGAAAGATTGTTATCCTCTTCTGAAAGAACTTAATCTCTGTCTGGAGTAAATGGAGTTTTATGTTTATATTTTTTAAGTCTGTTGGGATTAGTATGTTCTACATAGAAATATTTGAGAAATTTCATTTTGTAACAAGTAGTACTTGCCTTTTTCAGCCAAAAAATAAAATAAACAGAGTAGTTTGTGGAACAGATGCTTTCACTTTCTAGGATTAGCTTGTTAAATATTTAAAAATAGAATATTAAGGGGAAATTGTGTTCAGAACTACTGGAGGGTTTCCAACTATGCCTTTTTTTTTTTTTTTTTTCCTTTAAACTATGAACCTGAAAGTGAGGTTCTGTAATGAAAATGACTAATTTTTATTTCTCTTAGAGAAAAAGAGGAAGCACATCAGCTCCATCAGGAGGCTTGGGAGCGCCATCAGGCGAGGAAAGAGCTTCGCAGCAAAAACCAGAATGCACCAGACAATCGCCCCGAAGAGAACTTCTTCAGCAGACTAGATTCCAGTCTGAAGAAGAACACAGCTTTTGTTAAGAAGCTAAAAACCATTACAGAGCAACAAAGGGACTCCTTGTCCCATGACTTTAATAGCCTGAATTTAAGCAAATACATTGCAGAAGCAGTCGCTTCTATTGTGGAAGCCAAACTGAAAATATCAGATGTGAACTGCGCTGTGCACTTGTGTTCCCTCTTTCACCAGCGCTACGCTGATTTTGCTCCTTCCTTACTTCAGGCTTGGAAAAAACACTTTGAAGCAAGGAAAGAAGAGAAGACTCCCAACGTTACCAAATTAAGAACTGATTTGCGTTTCATTGCAGAATTGACAATAGTTGGGATTTTCACTGACAAGGAAGGTTTGTCTTTAATCTATGAGCAGCTTAAAAATATTATTAACGCTGATCGAGAATCCCATACTCATGTTTCTGTGGTTATCAGCTTTTGTCGGCACTGTGGAGATGACATTGCTGGTTTGGTACCAAGGAAAGTAAAAACTGTGGCAGAGAAGTTTAACTTGAGCTTTCCTCCTAGTGAGATAATTAGCCCAGAGAAACAACAGCCCTTCCAGAATTTGTTGAAGGAATACTTTACGTCTTTGACCAAACACCTGAAAAGGGACCACAGGGAGCTACAAAATATTGAAAGACAAAACAGGTGACATTTAAATGTTGCTTTTATTTATGGAGAAAAAAATAATTTATTAATGAAATGCCTGCTTTTGTTCCAGTATTTGTAATCAAAGTCTGTTAGCGGTGTGTAGAAGATAAGTGTATGCTGCAATATATCTAAAAAGAGTTCTAAATTTGCTCTGAATACTTAAAAAGCAAGAACTAAACAGACTTTCCTAATATCTTTAAAGGAGATGGAGGTTGACCTTTAGCTTTAATTCTCTTAACTCTATTAGTTGGTGATGTTCCCTTAGCAGCCTGAGAGCAGTGCTTCTTTCCCAGCTGGTACTGTCCTTTTCCAGTTGGCACCATCTGATTTCTCCCTTTCCTCCCACACATATCTGACAGAGCATATGCCACCATGACTTTGGCTTGTTTACTTTTTTTTTTAGTGTACCAGTATGGAGGAAAAGTTAGGTTGGATTAGCAAGGTATCCCTTACACTTTAATGTGGGCAAATTGTCTATATCCTCTGACATTTTAATATATAAAATTTGATTCAAATCCTCTTAAATGTCTATTTGAAATACTAATGCTGAAGGATATGAATATACACACCTTTCAGATCTCAATAATATAATTTCTACTGTTACCACATTGTTAAATAATTGTTTACTTTCCTTTAAAGCAGCCTGAATTGTCATTATTGGAGCCAGCCTAAACTGGTCTTAAAGCCTACTGGTCTTAAAACGTAGTTGTTCTTAAATCCTTTTTAAAGAATTCCAAGCAGATAGAAATGAATGTGTTACTGTGTGCAGGCCCAGGTTTCAACTAAAAGGCTGAACATCAGTCCAGAGTCACATGCATACTTGGAGTACGTTAATATTTGATGTTCCCAAACAAAGGCTCTGAACTTAGATCGGTTAGCGGCCTTCCAGTACCTGAAGGAGGCCTACAAGAAAGCTGGGGAGGGACTTTGGACAAGGGCAGGGAGTGATAGAACAAGGGGTGTTGGCTTTAAACTGTAAGAGAGGAGATTGAGATGAGATATTAGGAGGAAATTCTTTCCTGTGAGGGTGGTGAGACACTGGAACAGGTTGCCCAGAGAAGCTGTGGCTGCTCCTCCCTGGAAGTGTTCAAGGCCAAGTTGGATGATGCTTTGAGCAACCTGGTCTAGTGGCCTGCTGCTGGCAGGGGGGTTGAAACTGGATGATCTTTAAGGTGCCTTCCAACCCAAACCAGTCTGTGATTCTATGATGGGTATTGTGCTGCAGTCCTATCTGGTCTTGGTCAGCTAAGCAGTGTATTTCACAGGACCATAAACTGACTTTTGATCTACCATTATTTCTACAGGTACTTTAGTACTTTAAGGTGTGTTATTGACTTTGTTTTGTTTTTTTTAAGTGAATGAATATAAACTTTTACACTTTCACAATAACTGTTTCTGGCTGGGATTTCAGTGAGTGAGTGCTGAAAATTCTGACAGGAAATAAAGTGTTCCTGCAAGTGGATAATGAGGAAAACTACCTTGAGTTACATTTTGACAATAGAACCTAATTAATGGTCCTTTGGTTACACAGCTAAGGGCACGGCAGAACCTGTGCAGGCTGTGTCATTGAAAGGAAAGAGCTTGATGCTCAGATTCTAGTATGAGTTTTCAGAAGTCAGTGTTAGATATGGAAGAAAGTTATTTTGTCTAAATTAAGGATGTTTTTAAGATCTGATGAAGCTGTGTTGTGGCACTTGTGAAATTCTGGAGAGAGGTAAAGTAAGATAAGTGCTATATGCCGTACTTCATATTCAAAACATGGGTTGTGCTTTTTAAAGTTTGCTTGGTGTGCTTTAGCATGCTTGAATTTGTTAGCACTTGTCTTTTGGGAACTGAAACTGAGAACAGCAACTCCTGTACTGTTGTTAGAACACTGCTTCTTATTTTTTAATAATAGCACAGAGCTTCAGTGCTCATGTTCATGAGGCTGCTGGTATATTTTGAGCTTAAAATATCACAGAATCGCAGGGGTTGGAAGGGACCTCTGGAGATCATCCACTCCAACCCCCCTGCCAAAGCAGGGTCACACCAGGTTGCACAATAAAGTGTCTGGGTGGGTTTTGAACATCTCCAGAGATGGAGACTCCACACCCTCTATGGGCAGCCTGTCCCAGGGCTCTGGCACCCTCACAGTAAAGAAATTTTTCCTTAAGTTTGTCTGGAACTTTCAGTGTTCCAGTTTGTGCCAATTGCCCCTTGTCCTGTCACTGGGCACCACCGAGAAGAGCCCGGTCCCAACCATTTGTCCCTCCACACTTCAGATATTTATAGACATTGATAAGGTCCCCTCTCAGTCTTCTCCAGGCTGAAGCGTCCCAGCTCTCTCAGCCTCTCCTCATACCAGAGATGCTTCAGGCCCCTCATCAACTTGGTGGCCTCCGCTGGACTCTCTCCAGAAGATCCCTGTCCCTCTTGACCTGGGGAGCCCAGAGCTGGACACAACACTCCAGATGTGGCCTCACCAGGGCAGAGTAGAGGGGGACGAGACCCTCCCTCGACCTGCTGGCCACACTTTTTAATGCACCCCAGGACACTGTTGGCCTTCCTGGCCACAAGGACACACTGCTGACTCATGGCCAGGCTGCTGTCCACCAGCACACCCAGGTCCTTTTCCTCAGAGCTCCTCTCCAGCAGGTCAGCAAAATATAAGTACCTGATGGATGGTTGTCTCTGTGGAAAGGCTGTGGATTGGCCCTTAACTTTTCCTGCATCCCGACTGAGCTACTGCACTTCAGAAATAGTCAGTGGTGATTTAATGCGTTAATTTTTCTTGCTTTACTTTGTAGGAACAAGTAAAACATGTTTCATAGGTGTGTTTTTGTAAGAGGGTCAAGAGAGTGAACTTTTGCTTGTGTTACTGTTTCTTGCCCTCTAGCAAGACATCTGTGTCAAGTTTTGGTTCTGAGCAGGTACAAGGGATTTTGTTGCTACGCCTGTGACTGTGCTGTGTACAAAGATGACTTTTGTTTTACAATTAACCTGGAAGTGAAAAAAGCCAAGATTAATATCCCTTATCTTACATTGCTTAAAGGGTTTTAAAATTTTTATGCCATAAAATGTTTGGTTCTTTTGGCAAGAATGTGGTTGTATTAATTACTTCTTGCTTAATGAAAGCCTGATGGTAATGTAATAATGAAACCTGCTTTAGAAATTAGGGCATTCACACCTTACTTCAAACTTCATCTTCTGATGGTTTCATCTCAGTGCAGGAATATCTCAGATACTCCTTTTTGCAATTTAACTTCAGAAGTTTTGTAACACACTATCAGAATCAAGAAGTGTGCTTTTTGGTTGTTTTTAACTAATAAATTAAACTAAATGGATGGTAAATTGCTGATATTAATCAAAATTGCTTTAGTCCCAGAGTTTGCAAAGGACTTGAGGAAATTTCTTTTTAACAATTTTTATGTTAGAAATTAAATGAGAAAATACAGGAGCATGTATGTGAAGAAAAGCTATATGTTACTTTATAAATTTTTATGTTGACATCAGATTTTTGTGTTTTCCAAAATAACAATTTTACATTACTTCTATTTCTTAGAATTTATATTCAAAATGAATCAGAGCAACCAAATGAAATAGGGACTAAAAGGGGATCTTTGAAAATGAGTAAGATTTGTCTTTCATAAATGAAAGATGCATCTGTATCTTGCATTCCTAGTATTTACTGTATGGTTTTACAGAGTGATCTCTATCTAAACCACCTTGCCATTCAGAAGGCGTCCAAGGCTGAAGTGGTCTCTGCTTTAGCCCGTGCTCAGTGGCATGTTTCTGTAGGGAAGGTCTGGTCTTGTCAAACAAATTATGCAGTTTTATGTGAATTTGAAAGTAGATCATGAAGATTGTTACTCATGACATACTTCTTAATTTTGCCTCTTTTCAACTGTATTGTCTACTCCTTAAAAACTAGTGGGACCATTTTTAAGCTGGTATATAATGTTGAGCAATAGTTGATAAATTGTTAGACGTTAATTGTAGTTAGACTGTAAGAAAATCGAGTTGTACTGTTCTGCATGTAATCCTGAAGCTGCTTTACTGTGCACTTGTAAGCAGTGATTACATTCCTTCAAACAAAGTTGCTTTTGACAACAGATTTAAATTTTTAAAATGAGAATTTAAAGTAAGTATGAATAGTTTCATAAAAGAAAACAAAGAGCAAGTGAAAAAAGAAATGTATCTGCTCCTAATTTGGACTGATAGCCTGGAGAGAATTGGTTTGGAAAATTAATGGGCTGGTTTTAATGTGCATCTCTGAGCTTCCTGGTGATGGTTGCCCATTTAATCATATGAACAACATGGAAACATACTGTTACAGATGCAAAGCAACTTTTTTTTCCAGCTTCCATGTAAGTTGAATGTTTTAATTTACTACAAAAGCCTTTTGGTAGTGCAGGACTGTTACAGGATAATCATGGGAAAAAAAAGAAGTTAGCCTTTCTCTTTGGACCTTGACGTTAGAGCTGCTGTGACTGTACTACCCTCAGTGATATTCAAGTCAGTAATTCAGTATGGTTATTTGGAAAAAAATAACGTTGCTGAAATTTTTGCTATTGCACTCTAAACTAGAATTCTCAAAGTTCACTCGAAGAGAGAAGGTTAGCTTTGCTCAGAGAAATTGGTGGTGTTTCAGCATAGCTCAAATATGTTTTAAGAAAAAAAGGTCATCTTACCGTAACTTCAATTCTTGTAGGCGCATTCTTCACTCCAAAGGAGAGCTGAGTGAAGATCGACACAAGCAATACGAGGAATTCGCAATGTCCTATCAGAAGCTGTTGGCAAATTCTCAGTCTCTAGCTGATCTTTTGGATGAAAATATGCCTGACCTTCCCCAAGAGAAACCAACACCTGAGGGTAGGCCATCTTCTAAAGCAAGTAAACAGAATGCTGGGCTCGGATGTGGTGGGAACACACATCTTACTGATGTGTTCTTTCCATTGGGTTATTTTTATTTAGGCTTTCCCCCTTAAGAATATCAACAAATGAATAATACATGGATTTTTATTAAAGTAATTAAGCCTAACATTTAAGCATAACTATTGCGTATGCTGTGTAGTTACAGTAACCTAAGTGATACCTGTTTAGATTTGTTTCAGGTAATATAGGAATAAATGGAAAATTAAAAATTCTTTCCATTTAATATCATGCATTCTTTAATAAATAAAGAATAGTATATGTTAAAGTTTTAAAATCTGATATTGTTAAAAAATGGGTTTGAGTTCTGTTTTGGGTCATGATGTTATGAATAGCAACATATTAAGCCAGCTAAGTCACTAGGTGACTCTCTGACCTCCCGAGGAGAAGTACAGCATTTAACTGGCAGAACCATTCAACGCCTTAATGAATCTCAAATTTTAGATTTAGAGATGTGTTTGAAATCATGAGTGTCTGAAGTGATCTTGAGCTTAAAAAAAGCTTTATTTCTTGAATACCTCTAAATTTACAATTACTCTTTTTAAACTTCCTAAAATACAATGGAGTAAAGTTCATCATACTCAAAGTAATCACTCTTTATGTTGATATGATTTAAAGTCTGTTACAGCTTTCCTTTCTAATACCACATAATGCATTGCTTGATTTTGCTTGATTTGACTTTAATACTGTCTGTTTTCTGTCAATGTGAAATCTACAATTTTAAGATAACTTATTGATATATCTGATATTAAGATTGGGTTGTTAAAAGCACTTTAAAGGCTACATGGCAATATCTAAGTGAAAACAGTGGTAATAATGAACAGGTTAAAGTGTTTCTAAAAGGGTTTTTTTAATCTTTAAAGATGTGTCAGAAATTTGCACAAATAACTTTCTTATGATTTCCCTGTTTTTGCAGAACATGGACCTGGTATTGATATTTTCACACCAGGAAAACCTGGAGAATATGACCTGGAGGGGGGTATCTGGGAAGATGAAGATGCTAGAAACTTCTATGAGAATCTCATCGACTTAAAGGCTTTCGTGCCAGCAATTTTGTTTAAAGATAATGAAAAATATTCCCAGAACAAGGATTCAGGCAAAGATGAATCAAGAGGTAGAATGCTTAGATGAGTATTTTTTTAACGTATCTTGTTCAACAGATGCACAAATTTGATGGAAGTAGTGAGTCCCTAATAAAATAGTTTGTGGTCATCAGGACAGTACACCAGTTTAGATTAATTTGTAGGGAAGAAACGATGTAGGATAAGGATTGTAGCTGGGTATGGTATGTAAGGAAGGAAAAAATGTAAATGTATTTTAATATTGATAGAATTTTAAATTTAAAATAATTGGAGATTGTGAGTTAATGTTAACTTTTCTGTGAGAAACCTGAAAGTTTACCTTCTTTGAAAGATGTTAGTGCTCATTCTGTTTTTTTCCCCTGAAATGTTTATGGTAGCTAACTGTCTTAGTATAAACTTCCAGTAGATTAAAAGACCTGGATGGTTCCTCACAGCCCTAGGTTCACAAACAGGCATTGATGCACTTTAGTTATAATGGGGTAAAAATGACATTCACCATCACTGGCTCGAAGTGTGACAGAAGGCGCATGCTTGGATAAGAGCAGTGTTTTGGCATTGAGGAAATGCCACCAGAGACACAGGCTACGTGGTTTTCTAATACACATGCAGGAGGTCAGCGTTGAGTATTAATGGAATTTCACCTTTACAGCTCATAGCCTTCCTTCTGATTTCTAAATTCTGAAATTTCCCTGGGAGGACAATTGGGTGTTGGAGCAAATTGCCATGGGAGACTAGAATCTCTGCCTCAGGAGATTTTTTAGGGCAACTGGAAAGTCCCTGAGAAATGTCTGAATATAGCGCTCATCCACTTTGAGAAGAAGGTTGATCAAGAGACCTCACCAAGATCCATTCCAGAGTAAATTAGTCTGTGATTTCAAACAGGTTGCTTGTTTTATGAGTCTGTTATTTCCATATGATGCATACACTGTTTAGTTGTCACCTTTTTGTTTGAAAAATTTAAGTGTTTTAATAAGGTTATTTGCCTTGAACTTTTTTTTTATGAAGCACAACCTGCAGATAAGGCTTGTAGGAGGCCTAAAAGCATAACAAAATATAGATAATAATCTCTTGGAAAAATGCTCTATGCTGGACCAGCGTTGTTGTCTTAAGAAAAGTATAAGCTATTCCTTTCTGAATCTTCCTCCAGAGATTAATAGATTATCTGTTATCAAGAAAAATACAATTTTTATTTGACCTTCTACATAACATATTTCTTCAGTATCTTCTTCCTGTTCTGCTTTTTTTTTTCCCTTGGTCTGTGTAAAACACTTTCTCTTGACCTTCCTTTGTCAATTTTGTTATCAGTTGAGCTATGAAGAATATGGAGTGCAAACATTAAATTAGAGTTTGTACCTTTCAGTCTGGCTCTTGGAATAATGTTTGTGATATTCATTTATTTCCTGGGGTTTTGGAGGATCCTGTTTTTCTATCTGAGCTTCCCAATATGCAGGTTTGTTTGGTTGTTTTGCTTGTGTTTTCCACACGATGTCCTGGCAATCCATTTTAAGCACTTTTGGACTTAGATTGCTACGTCACTGAGTATCTTGTCCTATTTGAATGTATGCAATGAAGACATACCAGGTATAGTTCAGAACAAGCCAGAGCACTGAAAGCTGTTGATAATCCTTAACAGACCCAAATATAGGTAAATGTTTGCAGTTTTCAGCCATATGGGTAAAGCTGTATGAGGGGTGCCGATCGCACTGAGCCCTAACATGAGACAGTATGGTCTCAAAAAGCAAATACTTTGTCCCATTTCCTTTCCACAAGACTAAGACACTAAAGAAACACAGGTTTAGCAATGTGAGTCTTCTGTATTCTAACTGTGATTGTGTATATTTAATATTTTAATATTTCTACTTAACTTCTAAATAGATTCAAAAGATGCCAAAGATAATAAGGAAGCACCTGGGAGTGAGGATTTGGAGTTGGAGCTGGAGAACCTGGATATTAATGATGATGCCCTAGAGTTAGACTGTGGAGATGAGGCAGAAGATCTTACAAAAAAGCTTCTTGATGAACAAGGTAAAACAAACTGGCTTTAGGAATTCTTTGTTGTTTCCTCATTTTTTTTTTTTTTTGTGGGGTTTTTTGTGTTTTTTTTTGAGCTTGATGGGTTTTAGTCAGTAAATAAAGAGTTGACTTCAGGAAGAACTACTTATTTATATATTTATTACATTTTAGTAGCTAAGAACTGTTATGATTGTGGTCAAAAATGCATTTGTAACAAGACATTCAGACTAGTGAAAATAATTATATGGAGGTTTATGTAGTGCAAGTTACTAGATTCCTTCATAAAGCTTTAAAAATAATAGAATCTGAATGCAGTTGTCTAAAAAGTGACTAGAAAGAAGTATGTAGACTTCAGTGCATAAATTTTCTCATCGAATGTGCTTAGGGTTCTAATAAAATATCTTCTGTATTTATCTTCTCTTAAAATCTAAGATTCAATTCTGCCTTTCTGCCTTGTTAATTGTTAAAGATTTTTCTATTGATGAGATGGCTTTACATAGCAGAATTTGGAAATTCTAACCTCTGATTATGCATGAAGGGCTACAAATGGCACCTGTGAAAATTGACCTGTGTTAGTTTTATTACAGGAAACAGCAGGAAAACGTTTCTTAAGAACTTTTCTTACGAATTACAGGTTTTTCTTTCAGTAGTACTGAATAGTGGGAAAAGCAACATCAGGTGTGAAGAGCCAAATTCATAGATGAGCAAACTAGGTGTTTTCTTTGATCTCACTTTGTAAGACACTTTGGTTTTGTTGCTTTGGATTTCCAAGGACCAATGCAGATTCTTTTCTTTCATTTCTGAAGCAGGAAACTTGTTCTGTGTCTAGAATGTGCAAAAAAACCAAACCCACATTTAGAGTCCACTGGCTGGAGGTTCTGTGGCTTAAAAGATCCTACTTGATCTAATGAATTTATAATCTAATCATCCTCTTGTTTGAAACTGTATTGGGCTTTAAAAGCGAAGAACTTAAAGCCAAAACTTCAAGCCATGGAGTTCACTTCAAAGCACAAAAAGTTGAGGCCCTGGCAAAGGCTGTGTGTTGGTGTTTAAAACGTAGGTTCATCTAACCAAGCTGGGGCATGGATCTGTGGGTTTGGGTGTTGAGTAGCTTGAACAACTCCTCAGAGTGCCACTGTCTCTCAGCTGACAAGAGGGATGGGTTAGGGCATATGGGGTTTTTAAAGTGGATGACTCTCTTGTGTACCTGAAGTTAATTGAGCTGAAACAAGTTTTGGGACTGTGCTGGTCTGTGACACCTCACAAATTCAGAGAAGTTGGACAGCTCTAGAGTGAGACTGTTTCATACTCTTTCTGAAAGGAAAACTGTCATGATAATTTCTTCTGGGTTTTCCTTTCTTTACCTGGGCAGGTTGGAAAAAGCCATGCCCTTTTTGGAATAAAATTCCCCTTCCATTTGTATTCTTTGGGTAATCATCAGCCCATTGAGCTGGTTAAGATGTTAAGTTTTAGTTGCAGGATGTTCACCTTTAGTGAGTTGTTATCCTCACCCTCTTTGGAATAAAATTCCCCTTCCATTTTTATTCTTCTTTGGGTAATCATCAGCCCATTGAGCTTGTTAAGATGTTAAGTTTTAATTGTAGGATGTTCACCTTTAGTGAGTTGTTATCCTCTGGTCAGATCTCAAGTGAAACAGTGAGGAGCTTGGTTCCAGCTTCCTGTAAAGGAGTTACATGTAGATGTTCTCTTAGAATTGAAAGGAAGAAGAGTAGTTCATTCTGGCTTGGTCATAGCTTGTTAGATAGACCAAAAAAATACCTTGTCAATAGACATCTAAAGGAATGTGGGTATTTCCTTCTTGTCTTTTTTTTTTTTTTTGAAAGGATTTTTCACTTGACAGGTGGATGAAGAGTATTCTAAATATAAAGACAAAGCCAAATAACATGAGAGTGAGATCCTGTAGAAGTGAGGAAGGAATAACAGGTGATGAAATCAGAAACAGAAGATGTAGTCTCTGTATAGCTCTAGCTCACTGGGAGGCAGTGCCCGTTGAGTATGTACAGGAGTGCAGAAGGGATTGATGATTGTGCTTTTGATTGTGAAATGAAGATGTATATTTTGTCATAATATGAAATATTAACCATCCACCAACAGTTTGTGTTTTTAAACTAGCTATTGACTGAGCATTAAACACACTCCCATCTGAAAGGTTAATCTAAAATGTGTCAGAATGGGGTTTATTTTTGTTATTAAACAGCCAACACTTAAAGAAAGCCTTTTTACTTTCTGCCTTGTGAACGTAATGTCATTTGGCTCACAGTGTAGGTTTTTTTCTTAGTGGAGAGCTATTGCTTCCTGATTGTCTTTGGTCATTAGTTTATTTTTTGTGAAACATATAGAATTCACAAATACACTAAGTTTCTACACCTTTGTCAAATTTCTTGATACTCACAAGTAGGTTCGGAAATTAAAATAGGTATAGTTGCCAAATCCTTGTTCTGCTAGAAAACTAGGCTATAAATTAGCAGCATCTAAGTGTTTCAAGTGTTACTTGAAGTGTTACTTTACTTGAAACGTTTAGAGAAACACAATTTTATTTTTTTTTAGTATGTATGGAATTCTGAACGCTCCTAGTCGGTAGCATCAGATATACAGAACTAACAAAAATCTGAATTTAGATGTTGTTTCAAGTTCTGTGATGTATTTCTGTCTACTGAACTGGTAGATTTTTTTTCAGCCTTTCTCTTAAATAAAATTCACTTAGATTTGAAATTTAGAAAATTAGGTGTCCTTCAGCTGCAAGTTATATCTTTTAACTTTTTTCATGTACTGAGTATTTGTGCATCTATACTTGAGGTAAGTTAGTAGTAATATTCTGTGCAAATCTAGCAAAGAATGAGACCACTGTATTATGACATTATTACAGACATAAAACAGAGTATTCCAGGGTTGAGATGGGCATTTAGTATAAAAAGAGAGGATGCATGAGGTATAGCAGGGTCTTAAATATAAGGTCCAAAATGAAGAAGAAAAAAAATTAGATTTAGTAATTTTGATAATCTGGGGGTGTAGACCTCATTGGCAGAGGGAATATGTAAATCATAGAGGGGAAAACAGGATAAATGGGATGGACAGTCCAGTCAGACAGTGGGTACTGCCTATCTTTTGTTACTTCTGCAACTCCTTCTGTCACTTCTCTTCTGTCTTTTCTCCCCTGTCCAAATATGAGGGAGACAAGGTAGTTTTCCAAAGTACATGTTTTTAAAGCAGGTCTGCCCTGGTGTAGCATCCTTAGCAGCGTTGCAGTGCCTGTTTCTGCACTTTTTTCCTAAAGGCTGGAGTCCATAGTCAACTGAGTTTAAGATATGACATGTGAAAGGAAAATTGATGCAGCTAGTTGAAGAGTTTTGTTTACCAGGAATTCAGCTAATTAATTTTGTTTCTCTATTGCGTTAACTTTGAGTGAATCTTAATTTTCTTATTTTCAATATGCTCAGGGAAGAGAGAGGGAGCAGATAGCACCGGAGCTGAAAATAGTGACGGAAAACATGCTGGAAGAAGTGAGTTTTGAGGTTGCTCTTAAAAGAGAAGATAAAATGTTAAAAATGAAGCTGTGTGAATGGAGACAAAAATGTTAAGTAAGGAATGGCCAAGGTGGAAGCCGTCAAAGGGTGCTGGGGGCAGGAGGAGTCCGATGTTAATACGTATCTAGCTCCAGTTTTTGTAAGGTTTGTCAGCAGCAGAGATGTGTAGAAGTGAATGTTAAGTCAACCCTGTTAATTCTGTTACACTGTTTAGAGAGCTAGCGAAGTTCCTACCAGAAGAGCAGGAATTTAAAAAATATCTAAAAATATTAATTAAGAAGTATTTTTTGGACTTGGATGACTTGTTAGTCTAGATTCTAGAAACTTCTTTACAGTAGAGGGTGACAGAGCACTGGCTGCCCAGGGAGGTTGTGGAGTCTCCTTCTCTGGAGACATTCAAGACCCGCCTGGACACTTTCCTGTGTGATCTCATTTAGGTTCCTGCTCTGGCAGGGGGATTGGACTAGATGATCTTTCGAGGTCCCTTCCAATCCCTGACATTCTGTGATTCTGAACACATTCCTCAGAGGCCTTGATTCAACAAGATGTTAAACTTTATGCTTATGCCTAAGTGTTGTGCATATCACAACACTGGGGGATCCAGCTGACAATTTGCTCAGTGGTGGTTCATACCCTCTGAATGTGAGGGCTCCTGCATGATCAAATTCCTTACAGAAGCTCATCTCTCAGAGGAATAGCTACTAGTATTAGTAGCTTCTGTTATTTCCACTGTCTGGGTGATACTATATGAAGTACAGTAATACACCTTCAACCTGCCCTAGTGGAAGGTGTCCCTGCTGATGGCAGGGGGGTTGGAACTGGATGATGTTGAAGGTCCCTTCCAACCCAAACCATTCTATGAAGCAGACTGAAGTTTTTGGGCAAAGTGGACTTTATAACCTTACAGAGGGCTCTCTTCTAGTGTTTTGTAAAAATTACAAAATATGTTGAAAATAAGGAAGCCAGGGCTTTCTCAGGAAGTGTGTGTGTAGGGTAAGGGGAAGGCAAATAGCTATTGTAACTGAAGTAGAAGATTGGCACCAATCATTGCAGGAAAACTACTTCAGTTAAGTCCTTAGTGTCTTCTCATACCTTCTCAGTTTGCTCCCTGAAAATTACCAATTACATGCATTTCTGGTTAAATATAAAGGTGTTTGAAATGAAAAAATAACTTTTCAGTCTCTACAATCATCTTACTGCATGATTTGATCTGCACTGAGATAGACAAATGGTCTAATTGTAATCGTTATACATTACTACTTGTAGTAAATTTTGGAAAAAAGCTAATGCACTTTTTAAATGTGGTGATAATGAAAGACTAGAATTCAAGAGGATCAAAGTGAAAAGCAACAAATGAACTCTTTTGGCATGAACTGCATACTTAGAATCATTGTTTCCCTTAGAGAAGGAAGCCCTGAAAAATTCTTAATTTTCTCTCTTTAAGTCCCATATCTGCTTCAGGTGCTGCAAAAGAGCCTTTGTACTTGGAAAGGATCCACATACTGTGGTGAGAAAGAAATACCTAGAAATACAATGGGAGAATATCTGTAGCTCTGCAGTGAAGGAGAGGACCAGTGAAAGAAGAGATACATTGAACTGAATGTGATAGGAGGGGCTCTTGAAAGATTGTCTTGAGAAGTGACTGAATTGTTAAAGACATTTTTCTAATTAATTTCAAGAGCATTGAGTCAGTTTGAATAGAAAAGTGAGGTGAGACAACTAATTGCTGTCAGGGGAAGAGGAAGATAAAAGAACATCAGAAGGGCAGAGAGGAAGGTGTGGCTGTAAATATCTAAGTGGAAAATGCATTAAAACAAGATTTGATAGTAAAAATTGTCTGGTTTGAGCTATTGCATGAATCCTGGTGAACTCTTAAGTATATGGGTGATGAGAGAGTCAGGGTTCCATGAAGTATTTAAAACTTGATGGTCCTCTTCTGTCTGAGCAACTGCAACATCTTTCTTTCATTTTTTTTTTTCTCCTTTTTTAATGAGCAGTTCTCTTGTTCTTCTGACTTCTAGTTGCCTGTGCAAGAGAGGAGGCAATGTCATCTGCTTTAACCTCTAGCATCTTCAAGACGGGGTAGCTGGCAGTATTCCTTGGAACAATTCTTAGTGTTTCTCTACCTAAGCTCAACCCTTGCCCCCAGCTAGCAAAACCCCCCCCCACAACCCAAAAAACCAACCAAACAAAAACCGTACACACAAAAACACCCACAACAACAACAACATAAACAACATAAACAACCAAGAAAATGTCCTACAACATAGCTGCTTTGTTTTCCCTTTGCTTTTTAGTTCCTTGAAAAAGGAATTTCAGACTTCTATGCTAGTTTTCCTTACTGAGTAGCCTATAAAGGCAAAAAGACTTTACCAAATCTTGGGTATTTTGTACTTTATTTGGGTGCAATTTCACCACCATCATATTCACCTTTTTGAAGTCTGTCTCTATTCTGCTTTCAGAACAGGTCCTAGGTATTCTTGTTACTACTGAATGTCAAACTGAAAGGAAACCAGATATCATCATGTTCCTTTTTGAGGAAGCAGTGTTCTTTTGTGTTGCTTTGGCCAAAGAAAGGTTCTATCCAAGCCTCTGTGTTATAACTCATTGTTTTGGTTCATGCTGTGCTGTAGAGCAGACCAGACTCTTTTCTAGGACTTAGTAAAATCTGGAAAATTTTTGAAGCATGACACGTGCTTTGCAATTAAAGGATCACTATAGGGGTGATTGGTCTGGTGGGATCTTCATAGTTGATGTTAGAAAATCTGAGTTCCAATGATTTGAGTTGTCCTGCAGTCTTTCACTTGAGTAGTGTTACTGACTCAGTTCGTAGATACAGGTCACTGTCACTGCTTTGTATCTGGCACATTACACAGAAGCTTTTGCCTGGGAAACAAGTTCTCACTTGCCTTGCAGTTGCTACGTGAACAGCCCTCGATCCTTTGTCCTTACGGTTCTATACTCTGGTTTCTGTACAGCTGAAGGAATTAAGTTGACCTCTAGATTTTGCAGCATCAAGGGAAAATATGTCAAGAAAATACCAGATGAAAGAATGGTCTTAATGGACACTTTTGATCAAAAATGCTATTTCTCCTGCAGGGCAAACATACATTAAAAAAGTAGAAACCACAGTTGCATTAAGGTGCTTTGTTTTGCTTTGTTTTTTTTCCCCCATGTTCGGGCCTTCTTGTGGTCACTTAAATAAATTACTGTAGTTTTCTAGGAACATGTATTTATTGTTGCTTGTGACAGTGTAAATTAGGAGATAGGGAACTTCATGAAAAGGAAGACAAGTTTTAAAGGTGATACTTTTGACTTTTGTCAGCACAATCAATGGAATTTTTTGCATTAAAAATGAATTTTTTGTCTTTTTTTAAATCTGTAGATGAATATTTAACAACTGAACATTACAAATGCACTGTGTTTGGGGAATATGATAGTATATCATTATATTTCATAGTTTAAAGATGTGTACTACTTGTTTATTTCATTCTGTTAGAACAAGAGGATGAAGAAGCCAGTACTGGATCTCATTTAAAACTTATCGTAGATGCTTTTCTTCAGCAGCTTCCAAATTGTGTCAACAGAGACCTCATAGACAAGGTATAGTCATATTCTTCATTTTTTCCACTCTTAAAAGCTGTATTGCTAGATCAGATTGATCAGAAATAAAAACTTGAAGCTTTGGAGTCTATCAGTAGCTGAATTCACTTTCAACCTGGAGGAAATATTTTCTTTTCCTCACTTAGTCAGCCATTGCCCATGTAGCATGTGATATTGGTTTCATCTACCTGATCTCCTGTATATTAGATTGTTTTAGAAACAGACTTAACTTTTTCTTTCTTTCTTTCTTTTTTTTTTACCTCCCACTACTCCCTGACAAATTATTCCATGTCTACCTAAAGCTGTTTCTTCATTCTGCTGATCCAAAGGACCAGTCTGTATTCCTGTAACTGGACGTGTTTTCTAGCTATGTCAGTTCTAGACAAAAAAAGAAGATTGATTTTTTTTTTAATGATTGTTTTTAAAGCAGCTGCATGTAACAACAAGCATACCTCTGTAAAAGATGCTTTTTAAAAGCATGCTATGTTGCTTTAAATAAAAAACCACTGCATTAACATGAAGTATTATATGGACTTTTCTTTCTACAGGCAGCAATGGATTTTTGCATGAATATGAATACAAAAGCCAACAGAAGAAAACTAGTACGAGCACTTTTCATAGTTCCTAGACAAAGGTAAGAACTGAATGGGAACAAGCTGGATCCACTCTTTGCTTATTTAACTATATAGATTTTATTATTTTTTTTAAACTGTGTAAATTACTTGAAGACCATTGCCTATTCCAAGTTGCATTTGTTTATTCCTGATATACATTTCTGGAGTGATTCATGCTAGAGCACCAAAGAAATATTTAGGATTAATGATCAAACAATTCACCACAGTATTTTGTCATAGCAATGTAACTTTTAAAAATGATGAGTTTCTCTTTTCTGGTACTTGTGTATACAGAAAACAACAGCAAAACCTAATCTCTGTCAGAAAAGGAGGATATATTTCATTCTTGCACTTTTTAGTGTAAGAACCTGTGAATAGTTAGAGCACAGTGTAGTTTAAGAAAGAGGATTTCTTGTGATATGTTAGTTATGGTGTAGTACATGGCCATTGTAGCCTTTTATCTTCTGGAGCAGAGCTGGTTCTCAGCTGGCTGGCTTACAGAAAGCGGGTGTGCAAGTTGCACTGTGCCTGGTTCTGTCTGTGTAGGTCTGGCCATGTAGAATTTTGCTCTTCCTCCTTGTCTCTATTTGTGTAAGAGAAGACTCTACACTTATGGAAAGAGCTCTGCTTACAGAAATGATTGCAGATGTTGAGATAAAATTGTTAAATTCATTAGAAGAACAATATATTTCTCTGCTCTCTGGTAAACTTGCACCTTAAATAGGTGAAATTATGAAGGAGTCACTTTTCTTGCTCCACCTTGCCCTATTTCTCCTGCGAGTTTGTTTTGATGCTGCTTTTAGTTTCAAATGTTTCATCATCATCTTGGATTTCCTATTAGAGTTCACACCACTTTGATTCCATTCCCTTTTAACACCAGGGGAAAAAACGTGGTTGGTTGAGTGTCCATTTTGTCTCAAGACTTGTGTAGACTGCTGCTTTGAATAAACACTTTGGTGTTTTGTTTTCCTTACTTTTAATCACTTAGTTTTTGCATTGTGTTTTCAACCTTAATTGTAGGCTGTTTCTACATCCTATCTGTAATAAGCATCTGTTTGTTGACTGTGTGAATTAACCTGCCTCTGCCTTGAAGTTAGTTTTGCAATTAGAAGTGCACATAATCTTTCATTCTCTTATGTATTCTTTTCTCTATAAATTATTATTTTGGCACCTCAGTCTTTGGAGACTTTGCTTGCTGCCTCTGTTGGTATTTCCTGTTTCAGGTGCAGACGCTTTAATATCTCCTGTGTTAGTTGTAACCAGGCACTCTTGAACCCACATTTATGGTGTAGAGGAAAGAACAGTTCTATTTATCAGCCTGCTGGTAATCATGAAATGCATCAAAACACAATTTGAGAAGAACTTTTTTGCATGACCTAGAACATGTACAGCAGCGTAAATCAGTGGGATGACTTAGACTTTTGTCTTCAGCTCTACCATGATAGAGAATTTTCCATGTTTGTTTGCAAAATAGAAGTGGCTTGTTGGCTGCTCTGTGAACATACAGTAGTATTTGTATTGCTGCCCTGTGTTTTTCCCTGGTGCTGTAGGTTCCACGTTACTCAAATTGATCATTAGCTCTCGGAACCTCTTTGAAGATGCATGGTTTTCTTTGCATAATCCACTAAAGTTTGCTCAGTTATAATGACCTGAAGGAACTTGTTGACATTATGCAAAGCAAAAGAGGTAGTTTCAGATAAGAACAACATGATGGCTTGTAAATTCAGTAGTGTGGTTTCATAGATACCATGAAAGCAAAAGTTAAATTCCTAATGCATTGTGACATTAAAAATAAAGATGTGTTTTTGATCAGGCTGCACTAGGAAGATGGTAAGTTGCTAGAAATGTATGTAGTCGGATTCATTGTCTTTTCAATTGTAGTTCCATTATCTCACAATCTTTTTTTTTTAAAAATAATAATTTTTAAAAGATTGATTTTTGTGTAGGAATTCAGTAGACCAGTATAGATGGTGTGGTTGGCTCAAGGAGCTGCTGTCTTCGTGACAGTTCTGTTTTCTAATAGTTGGAACTAATAATGAAGTGAATGGTTCAGCTGATCACTGGTTTTCTTTAATTATAAATATAAATTATTCTTAATATTAATATTCCATGTACAATATTTTTTTTAATACCTTTTTCTACTGTCTGCTCTGAGACCTACTGGGCTAATGGATACTCCAGCTTCCAATTGTAAGATCTTAAGTTCAGTTGTAGATATCTGCCTGCTCTTCTGCCTGCATTAGTGATGCCTGTTTCTGGGCTCCTCAGCAGGAGAAATAGGGTGTTAACTGGGCCTCTTGTTCTGAACCACAAACAGCTGCAATGAAAATACCAGCTGAATTGCCCAGAGATGCAGATGATTTTTAAAGGGCAATCAGTCCTAATGTTTGTTAGCTTTATTACTGCAGTTGATAAAGGAGCAGTTCTGCTTTCTCTCTTGAAATCAACACTTACAGTCCTGGTGGAAAAACTCCAGGTGTGTATATGGCACACAGCACTAATGGTTGCTATAAAATGCTACAGATTCATTTAGAAAATTCTACAAAACACTGCTTTGAAGTTTGGTATACTGTGTGTTAACAGTGTTTTTGCTTCATACGTCTCTCCACTGAGCTATAATGATACATCTTTACCTTCCACTATGGGTGTTGCATGCTAGTTTTTGCTTATTCTAGGAGTTTCTGCAATATCCCTCTAGGATACCATGGGAGAAGAAAGTTTGTTCTGGTTATGTTCTTGAGGAGGATTTTTTTTTGTGTGTGTGTTTGGGTTTGTTTTGTTTTGTTGGGTTTTTTGTCTTTTCTTGGAAGGTTCAGAGAACAGTGTCCTATTAGGATGCAGATAAAGCAGTATATTTTCCAAAAGCATTTGGTCTCTAAGTATATCAGATAATATTGTCTTAAATTTAGTTATTATGTTGGCAGCCATATTAAGATATTTCAATTACAGAGTAAGTTCTGTTTCTTCTCTTGAGAGATCAGTTTTAGGAAATGTGCAGGAATTACAATTTTAACCAAGAAAATAAAAAACTGATTTCATGTTTGGGGAGTAATGCAGCCACTGTCATCATGCAGTGTTGCCAGGAAGCTTTCTTGCTCCCACTAGGGTTGGATAGATTGGGACAAATACAGGATTCTTCAAGATAGAAAGCTCAATTTGACAGAAAAGGAGAGTTTTTCCCGAGCTAACTGTAGATCAGTGTTAGAATACAACATTGCACTGCTCTGTTGAATACTTATGAATGGATCACATTTACATTGACAGCTGTGATTTGAACCTCCAACCCAACAGAACAGAAAGCCCTTTAAAAAGATTTTTCAATGCTCATATACACATGGCTTTCAGATTTGCATTGGAGGGTTGATTTAAAACTAAACATTAGCCTTTTAATTCAGGACTCTATGGTTTGTACTGAAGTGACAACGCAGTAGTTTAATCCATACTGCTTGCTGTTTTGGGGCATTTATGTGTAGTTCTTTGCTATCTAACTGAATTATTTTCTGGACAGATACATAGAATTTCTTACACTTAATTGCATGCTGCAGTTTTGTTGAGTTTTGTTCTACTTCAGTGTGAGAAGTTTGAAAACCCTTTGTTAGCTTTAAATTCTAAACAGTTCTAGGCAAAAGCCGAACAGTAAATAGTAGCTGCTGTGGCCTCTGAATTTTTGGTTTTGCCATTCCCCTTTATGGTGACCTATGAAGTTGCAAGTTTACTGAGCAAGAGATCTGTTGTTCATCTTCAGGAAATTGTTAACATTATTGTTGGCTATTTTTAATTGGAAAGGTAGCTGCTGCTTGGGTGTTAAATGGTTCCAAGCATTTTAACTCGCATATGTAAACCTCCTGTATATCTGCGTTCTTTCAGCTTCTTAGGCTGTGATTCCCAAGTAGCAAGGTTGTTCTTGTTCCATTGAACTTACCAGTGTTTCAGTGGCCTCTCTCATTTGAGGTTAAAATTGAGGGATATGCTTGAGATAAGGAGTTTAATGCCATGGCTGAGAAACAAAAGCAAAAAGTGCTTATCTGATAGCATGCAGATTCCACAGCATCCTTCTCTTCCCACTGAGCAGTGTGGTTGGCAGTTTGTACCTGCTCAGGCCCTGGGAATACACTGCACTTATCTAGGTTATGATTATACTTGTGAGGCAGGAGTTCTTACTCTGCTGCTTCATTCTTTAATTATTTAAGCTGTCTTTCTGGTAGAATCCTAGTTAATAAATGTACAAAATGTCCCCTTCTCTCTTTCTGGGTTTAAAATTTTGGATGTACCTGTTCTAGAGAAATTGCAGGTAGGAGTTTAATTGAACGCAGTCTCTTTTTTAATAAACTAAAATTTGAAATTCTACCAAAAAAAAAGGAAAAAAAAAAAAAAAAGATGTACTCTTAGATATTTCACTGAAGTGCAGTCCATGTGATCCTGACAGAGCTGACTAGATTTCAATCCAAGGTATGTGGTCAAAATGACAATGGTGAGAAGTAGTGGTTTTTTTCCTATGGTAGTTTATATTCAGGGTGCTTAACATAGGTTTCAGAAAGTCATTGACTCATCTCTGATGCTAGGTCTTGCTTTAGAATGTAGAAGAGCAGGAAGAGAAAGCAATGCTGTGGGTTTTGGGGGGTTTTTTAGTTAATATCTACCCCTTTTCTAAAAAAAAAGAAAAATATTTTGGAGAAAACAGAAAACCTAATTAGCCTTAATGCAGGTACCAGCAGATGGTGCCACTGATACTGCAGTCCCTCTGCTTCTGAGCACTAATTTTTGTCTCCCCTGTCAGAGAGGGAACAGATTCATTCTGATTGCCAATTTCACGATAATTTACCCAAGGCTTTTGCTTACTATGTTTCACCTATTTAGAAATGGCCAGTCTTGGTATTCTTCCCCATGAAGAAACCTTTTGTGTTCTTTGAGGGGATAACAACAATGTGCTCTAAGACTTTGATTTTCCCCAAGGTATGTTCGGTTTACAGAGATGAAATTATTAGCTCTCAGCAGGTAGATTCTCTGTTCAGACCAGGATAAAACTTTCTGCTATTTGCATTAAAAGAGATTCCATACAGAAATCTCCTCATTTAAAATACACCCCCTCAATGCAGCCCAAGTCCTGTGTTAGTTTAGCTTTTTTATACATGTGTGAAGTAATGAGACTTTCACTTCTCTGAGAGTTAATGGCTAAATGGTAAATAACATCGTAGTAATTTGCTGTGGCTGGTCATCCTTGACTGTGTGTTCCAACAAGCTTGAAAAATGTAAATACTGCTTCAGTTATTGATTAACAAGAGAGAATAAAAACTGTTAAATAGCTAACCAGGGTACCTGCAATGTTTCACCAGGAGTTTTATGTATTATCAGAGGCTACCTCTTTCAAGCGGTATATTCTGATGCTTCTAGTCCACAATTTAAATACATAATTATTTCTCTTTTTCTTTCAGTGGATATTAATGATCTTGGAAATGTACGTCAGTAACATAGCAGGAGAAGGAGAGGGGAGGCAGCTGTGTATGCTTTGTTTTGAGGGTTTTATCTTGTTGCTCTTCCTGTTATACTCTGTGCCAGGGCAAGCTCTATTTATCAACCCTGCTTTTAGAATTTATTTAATTTTTTTTTGCATAATCTTTTTTTCTTTTCCCTAGCAGTAGGGAAAACCTTAATTCTTCATGAAGTGCAAACTCAAGATCCATTTTTCCCTTACAGGCAATTTCTCACTTGAAGAATGCAAATTTAAGATGCTTCCCTCCATTTAAAACAATAGGCTTGTTCTACAGTTCATCTGTTTACAGCATTAACTTATGTTCTGAAGAGAAAATGAAAATACTTTCTTCAACTTGTGAAAAGATAGTACGAAGCCTCAGAGTGCAGTTGGCTTCTTTGCATTTAAAAGTGATACATGCACATTTATGCAAAGCAGCTGTGTTATATTCTGTGTCCTGTTACATGATGCCACAAACCAGGTTTAAAGGCATTTATCCCCTTTTTACAACCAGATAGTCTTTGATGGAAAGAAACAAAGTATAAACTAAGGAAAAGAGAAATTGCCCTTCAGAATTCCCTAAGGGAAATACCCAGTACTATGAAATGGGTATGAAAGCATGTAATTAAGGAAAGAGAAAAGAAAATAAGGGTAATTCTATAGAAAAATTTGAAATATGACTATTTGTGGGAGTGCTAGCTGAGTTTTGAGGAAATGGGTTGCCACATCATGTCTGCTGGGCTTTGTTTTATGTAATAACAGTACTGCATTCATTTAAAAGTTCAGTGCCTTAAAAATAAAAATGTTCTCACCTTCCTGGTTACGACTGCTGCTACTCCAAAAAAATATAAATGGAGTAACAAATGCAGTTGTCTGTAAGAATTTTTCATTTTGCACATTGAGAGGGATCTGAATTTTGTTTGTATCTGGTAATTTCTTAAAGGTTAAGTTAAGATGGTGTTTGGCATTTCACCTGAGGCAGTAGTTTTAAAAGGAAAGTAACTGTGAAGGATTCTAATGGGATGTGGTAGTATACCTTCTTGTATTCTTATTTTTAAGTGATTTTGCAATCTGCAATGTGAGCCTGTAAAATTAGTTACACATAGTTCTGTCATGATATGCACATTCATTCTTTTCACAAACAAAATGGTAACTGTACTCATAGACACAAATACATTTTTGTCTATAGCATAAATTAATTGTCTATTTTATCTTCTCCTGTGTTTGCAGGTTGGATTTGCTGCCGTTTTATGCAAGACTGGTTGCCACGTTGCATCCCTGTATGTCTGATGTAGCAGAGGATCTTTGTTCCATGCTGAAAGGGGATTTCAGATTTCATGTAGGTTTTGTTCATTTAATTTTTTTTGCATTCTAGTTAACCAATCTGATAATTGTCTTTGGGGGAAAAAATAACATTTGATATTATGTAAATACTTAATTCTGAAATTGAGTGACTCAGTTTAGAATATTTTTCTGTCATCTGAGCAGATTTGTTCTAGAATACTAGATTTGTATGTTTAAAAACTTTGTTGGCATATATATATATATATGTATATATATATATGCAGACATTTATAGTAAGTTGTATTGTTTGTAGTGTCGTCATTGATTTCCAGTGTTAAACAGGATTAAAATGAACTCTATAACACTTGCAAAAGTTGCAAAAATTAGAAACTGTGCTCCAACTGTGTGTTAAAGAGTTTTTCATTAATTAATAACTTAGATTTAAAATGAGAACTGACCTATTTTAACAACAGATGCCTACTACAAGGTTGCTGCTGTAGTATAGTAGCTGCTATTGTAATGTAATGCTTAATGCTAAAAAGTTTGGGGTTTTTTTACAATTTTCATCAACCAAAATTTTCTGTGCTTCAGAAATGAATTTTTTCAATGTTGTTTCTTTCACTTCTTTCTAAGTTTTGTAATAGAATTGACTCCTTCACGGTTTTCTCAAAATTATGGCACAGGTTTCAAAATTCTTTTTCTAATATTGATAATAAAAATGTGTATGAATTACTCAGACTTAATTAAGTCAACTATCTGAAGTTAACTATTGTCAGAAAAAGTTATTTCTGTTGTGGAGAAATACAATTTTGTATTTTGCTGAACATGATAATGTTGAGAAATAAAGATAAATTTGTACCTTGTCATTAAAATTATGCTGGCTGTCAGCGATTTTAAAAGAAAATAAAGTCTGCATTTTACTAAACCTGACTTGGAAAAGCTGTCAATATTTACTATTGCCTTAAGGAATAAACTAGTGATCCTGTTCATATAGAGGCAACTTATTGATTGTAAAAATATAGAATCTAGAATTCTTAACCCTACTTCATAAGAGCAAAATGGGAGCGGCCAGGATGATGTGTGTCTATAGCTGTAGGTATGTTAGAGGACGTAGGTTTTTGGGATGGGCACGAAGGTGGGGAAAGAAATTCAAAAGCTTCTGAAGAAATAAGATTGTAGAGAGACTTCTAGGAAACTCTGTGGTAGGAGAAGGTAGAGCATAAGGAACCAAACAAATAGAAAACATTTCTGAATTCCTGAGCTTATTAAGCACATTCAGTTCAAAGTAATTTATGAGAGACTGGTATTTTTGAGGGCCTAAAATAAAATGCACTTTTTTTTAGGTAAGAAAAAAGGACCAGATCAACATTGAAACAAAGAATAAAACTGTGAGATTTATTGGTGAGCTTACCAAGTTTAAGATGTTCTCCAAAAACGATACTCTCCACTGTTTAAAGGTTAGTGTTCTGGTAGTCCTGTACTACTCTCTATGCTGATAATGTATTCTCATCTGTTCCCCTTCATATATCTATTGCTAATGTGATCCATTAATTCATTGCATATGGTATTTTGAACCCCAGTGTCTGCTGCTGCTGTGTGTGAGGAGGCTTTTATAGCTATTCTAGAAGGTAGAATGTTCTAATTCTGTGATAGTTGGTATATATTAAAATAAACTTCCACCTTTGGACATAACCAAATTGCTAATAGTTTTCTTTATAAAGTGATGGTGGACGTTGCTACTTATTCATCTGCTGTATTGCAAAACTGGAAGTGAGCTTTTCTTTCTATTATGCTGATTTCAATTAATGTTTTTACAGAGAAAATAATAGTAAGGGGAAGTGGTTAGAGGCAGAAAGTTTTTCAGTGATGCAAGGAAAAGCTTGTATGCCATCTTAGTGGGGGCTTTTGTTTGATGAAGAACAAAATAAATCTTTGGAAAACATTAATCTCTGGGTGTATCATCTCAATTTGCATGCTGATAGTCATTCAAACTTATCTTTGTGAAGTCACAAATTAAAAATGCATTTTAAAAAATAAAAGTGCCTTTTCTAAAAGGTGGTTGAAGACTCACACAGGTGAAGATCACTTCCTCTAGGAATAGTTTCTGTTGATTGACTCATTAGTATTGAAGCTGTATTCTTAAAAAATTACTCACGCATCCTTTTTCTTCACTCTTCTATTAAGTATTGTGAAATGGAAAGCTCTATTAATTTTAGTTATTGCTTACCTTAAACAATATAATTTGAGGTTACTGGGTCTTCTGCAGTGTTACTTTGTGGTTTTCCTGTCCAGCAGGAGGTATTTTAAAGCAGATATGACCACGTTGGAAGGGAAATGGGAGAGTTTATAGTGTTTGTTTTAGTACTGTAGTGTTTCTATGCTAGGTTTAGGAAGCATCCCATTTTTCAGGTTTCTGGAGCCTAAATTTGGGGTTTAGACTGTTCTGATAAGACTTTTTAAATGAGATTAATATTTTGAATTTTGTTGACAACTGATCAGCTAAATAAACTTTGTTTTTTTTTTTTTCTTAAAGAATGTGAAACACCACAGTAGTGTAAAATCTGGTAGATATAACTTACTGTTTTCTGCAGTTGAAAAAGATGTTTAACATGCTGTGTTTTTATATAAATATATACCAGATGCTTCTGTCAGACTTTTCTCATCACCATATTGAAATGGCATGTACTCTGCTGGAAACCTGTGGAAGATTCCTCTTTAGATCACCAGAATCTCACTTAAGAACCAGTGTTCTTTTGGTAAGAAAAAACTCGTTTTCTTATGAGGGAGGGTATCGTGCACTGAATTAAACCAATTACTTCTTGTATTTTCTGCCTTTGTGATGTGATCTGTGATTGTGACTGATATCTTAATTGTCAGTTGCAATGTTCAAGCACTAGTAAGTGAAAACTTTCATTAAGTTTTGAGTACTCCGGGAGCATAAAGTTCTTAATTCTTTAATAAAAACAGAAACAAGTATGAATCAGTGTTCCTGAAATCTTGCCTCCTTGTTGTGGAACGTGGTAGAGATAGGCTGGTGTTACATATTGTCTCTAAATTGGAAACATGTGGGTTTGATGGATGAACCACTCGGTGGATAAGGAAGACAGGCTGAAGGAGTTGGGGCTGTTCAGCCTGGAGAAGAGAAGGCTCCGGGGAGATTTTATAGCGACCTTCCAGTACCTGAAGGGGCTACAAGAAAGCTGGGGAGGGACTTTTCATAAGGGCAGTTAATGACAAAACAAGGGGAAATGGGTTTAAGCTGGAAGAGGGGAGGTTTAGATTAGATATTAGGAAGAAGTTCTTCACTGTGAGGGTGGTCAGACACTGGAACAGGTTGCCCAGAGAAGCTGTGGTTGCTCCTCCCTGGAAGTGTTGAAGGCCAGGTTGGATGAGGCTTCGAGCAACCTGGTCTAGTGGAAGGTGTCCCTGCTGATGGCAGGGGGGTTGGAGCTGGATGATCTTTAAGGTCCCTTCCAATCCAAACCATTCTATGATTCTATGATATGTTGGAAATACGAGACTGCTTTGGCAGTATCAGCCTCTGTAGTCCTATGGACTTGAATCATCTTGTTATTTATAGCCTGACGAGTATTGTCTCAGCTCTGAGATTGCATCAGCTGTGGGAATAGCTTTCTGAAAGCATTCTGGAGAACTCCAGTTGACCTATAAAAGTGTTTGTGACTTAAAAGAAAATGTAAATAAATAATTAAATTTCTGAAGCAAAAAGCTATTGCTTTTCAGCTACAAATATTTCAGAGAGAGAGAGCAAAAACAGAGGATGAGGTTGAAAGAATATAGTAGCTGTACTGGAATGTGTCTGAGATACTATTTGAGGGGGAAAAATGGTAGTGAATGGAACCAGAAATGATAAAATATTTCAAATGGAGGTGAAGACAGTTGTGAAAGAGGAGGTTTCTGTGCCCTATGTAACAATCTGGGGTTCTAAGTTTTGAAAAATAAAAAAAGCTTATGAAGACCCTAGAGGAAGGGGTTTTGAAAATGGGTTGGTAATCAAGGGAAGAGTAGAAGTGGTATCTGTAAGTCTAGGTAAGTACTGGTAAAAAATTAAAAATAACAAGGCTCAACTTTGGGTCTGTCTTAGTGTATGAATTTGAGCCCTGAATAATCCATTTACTGACTTGAGAGACAATCGTAAAACTCTGTGTTCAAGGCAAGAGACTGAGTCAAACATGGCTGAAAAAGTCCTTCCAAGAGAGATGCTAGCAATAGGAAATTGCATTAAATTAAAAACAGCTTAAGCAGATACAGACCAATTAATAGACTGTGGTGTTGTACTAGAAGTCCGACTAGATGCTTTAATCGCAGAGTCACAGAATTGCCTTGATTGGAAAAGACCTTTAAGATCATTGAGTCCAATCATTAACCCAACACTGACAAGTCCCCGACTAACCCATGTCCCTCAGCACTATGTCTACACGACTCTTCAATCCCTCCAGGGATGGGGACTCCACCACTGCCCTGGGCAACCCCTTCCAATGCCTGAGAACCCTTTCAGCAAAGAAATTCTTCCTCACATCCAATCTCAACTGCCCTGGCCACAACTGGAGCCCATTTCCTCTTGTCCTGTCCCTTAGGCCTTGGTTGAACAGACCCACCCCCACCTCTTTCCACCCTCCTCCAAGGGACTTGCACAGAGCCACAAGGTCTCCCCTCAGCCTCCTTTTCTCCAGGCTAAACAACCCCAGCTCCCTCAGTTGCTGCTCATCACACTTGTGCTCCAGCCCCTTCCCCAGCTCCGTTGCCCTTCTCTGGACACACTCCAGCACCTCCATGTCCTTCCTGGAGTGAGGGGCCCAACACTGAACCCAGCACTCGAGCTGCGGCCTCACAAGTGCCCAGTACATGATGATGATCACTTCACTGGTCCTGCTGGCCACACTGTCCCTGACACAGGCCAGGATGCCATTGGCCTTCTTGGCCACCTGGGCACACTGCTGGCTAATGTTCATCTGGCTGTCAGTCAACTCCCCTAGGTCCTTCTCTGCTCTCCAGCTCTCCAGCCACTCAATGTTCCCTTCAAATCTGTGCACTGCAGGAAGAATATAGACATGCGTGTCTGCAGTAAAGAAAGTAGCCTCTGCATTTGGAGGAGAAAGTGGATGTTATTTGCCCTTCTGGAAGGAAGCAATTTAAGTGTTTGGAACCTCTTTCTGGAGACACAGCTCTTAAGCTGTGAAGTATCACTGTCTCTTCTGTATTTATCTCCTTTCTTATAGAAGCACGGGCTTATGCTTGACACCTCTTTCTCTTGAATCCACAGCTTCCTATCTCATTCTGTAGAGTTAATGGAGGAGCAGTTCTTACATACTTATATTGTTGTACAACTTCTTTTCCACAAAATGCTGTTTCTTTATGAAACTCTTTGAGTGTCATAGCATTTGTGGTGGTGGTGTAGTCACAAGATGGACAAATAAACTGCAAGCTTTTGGCTCATGCTATTTGCTGCAGAGTGCTTTGTATCTTGAAAGATTTTGAATCTCTCAATTTTAAAAAGATTTGCCAGGTGATGTGTTTTGTTGTTAAATTCATTCCTTTTCATAATCAAGTTTGGTTTTGTTTTTTTTCCCCTGAAAATGCTGTTCCATTATCTTTAAAAGATTCTTTACTCTTTGCTGCCATTTTTTCATAGTTAATAACCATAGTACCTTTCCCAGAGCTGCTTTTCCTGACTACTTTCAGTCTTATGCACTACAGAAACACTGATTGTTAGCTGTATTGCTGAGATCTGCTGGGTGAATGCTGAGCATGACTTAACTGTGAAGTCCAAGACAAACCACAAACACTGTTTCAATAACTGAGCTTTAAAACCTTGCAAGGTTTTGGATACGTAGTCTTTTCTTGGGTGTTGAGGAACCAGGAGAAGATAAAGATGGCAAATAGGTTTGGAATATCTATGAATTAAGATGGAAAATAGGCTAAATAGATTTATATTCTACAACCATCTTCATAGCTGCGTCTTCTAATGTTACCCTGTAGAAAATATAGAGATATTTGATCTTTTGAGGTCCCTTCCAATCCTTAACATTCTGTGATTAATTTTGACTGAAATAGTATTATGCAAATTGGGTCATACTCTTAGGGTACCAGTTAGTGTGAACTGTAGAAAAGACTGCTCCCAAAGCAAGCAAACCCTACAGCCCACTGTAGGAAAAGATCAGGTTTGAGATCATCTGAGGAACCTGAAGGTGCAGAAGTCCATGGGACGTGATGAGGTGCATCCCTGAGTCCTGAGAGAACTAACGAATGAAATTGCCAAACCCGTGTCCATCGTATTTGAGAAGCTCTGGCAGTCTGGTGAAGTTTACACAGACTGGAAAAGGGGTAACATAACCCCAATTATAAGAGTAACAAGGAAGATGCAGGGAAGTACAACCTGGTCAGTCTCACCTCTGTGCCTGGAAAGATCGTGGAGCAGATCCTCGTGGAAACTATGCTAAAGCACATGGGAAGTGAGGAGGTGATTGGTGAGAGCCAGCATGGCTTCATCGAGGGCAAATCATACCTGACCAATTTGGTGGCTTTCTATGATGGAGTTACAGCATTGGTGGATAAGAGAAGAGCAGCTGGACAGGCCATCCAGAGGGACCTTGACAGGCTTGAGAGGTGGGCCCGTGCAAACCTCACAAAGTTCAACGAGGCCAAATGCAAGGTCCTGCACCTGGGTCAGGGCAAACCCAAGTACAAAAATAGGCTGGGTGGAGAATCACAGAATGGATTGAGAGCAGCTCTGAGGAGAAGGACTTGGGGGTGCTGGTGGACAAGAAGCTCAACAGGAGCTGGCAATGTGCGCTCGCAGCCCAGAAGGTCAACTGTATCCTGGGCTGCATCAAGAGAAGTGTGGCCGGCAGGTTGAGGGAGGTGATTCTCTCCCTCTACTCTGTTCTCATGAGACCCCACCTGGAATACTGTCTCCAGTTCTGGGGCCACCAACATGAGAAGGACATGGACCTACTGGAGCAAGTCTAGAGGAGGCCACGAGGATGATGTGAGGACCGAAGCACCTCTCCTATGAGGACAGACTGAGAGAGTTGGGGCTGTTCAGCCTGGAGAAGAGAGGGCTCCGGGGAGATCTTATAGTATCTTATATAGGAGATCTCTGGGGAGATCTTCAGGCCTTCCAGTACCTGAAGGGGCTACAGGAAGGCTGGGGAGGGACTTCTGACAAGGGCAGGTAGTGGCAGAACAAGGGGTAATAGCTTGAAACTGGAAGAGGGGAGATTGAGATGAGATATGAGGAAGAAATTCCTTGCTGTGAGGGTGGTGAGACACTGGAACAGGTTGCCCAGAGAAGCTGTGGATGCTCCTCCCTGGAAGTGTTCAAGGCCAGGCTGGATGAGGCTTTGAGCAACCTGGTCTAGTGGAAGGTGTCCCTGCTGATGGCAGGGGGATTGGAACTGGATGAACTTTAATGTCCCTTCCAACCCCAACCAGTCTGTGATTCTAAAATGATGGTAAAAATCTAAGTAAATGTAAAGCTGATCTTTCCAACGACTCTGGGCAGAATTAAGGCCTGTTGATCTTCCAAGTAATTATTGGTCTGACTCTTTACTGATGACGATATGTTATGTAATAAGATGCCAACCTTACCAACACTATTTGAATCATTCTGTAGAAACTTTTAATGATTACATTCTGGTTTTGTGGAACTACTGTCATGTTCTACAAAGCATTTAAAGATTCTTCTTTTATCGGGACAATGTTTATTCATGTTAATCATTCTTCTTGGCAAGTCTTTCAAATACAATGTCCTTTATGTACTTTAAAATACTCATGTAGAACTAACTTGGCTTTGGCATTGGTCTGATAAATGGATTATTTGAGTTGATGCCTTCGAAGGAAGATCAGCATCATCTTGCTCTGTTTTTCTGTAACATAATCATGTTAAAATGTCAAATTCTCATGCTATGCTGTTGTGGTCTTGTTAAAAGAATATTTGAAGTTTTTATTAAAAGCTTTTGGATGCATTTTTAATCCTTTAATTTAGACAATTTTGTCAAATTGTCTTAAGCTTTAGGGTAAGATCACTTGTATTTATGCATACACAGAACTTGAGCTACAGGGTGGCTCACTTCTCAGGATGACACCTTTTATAGACAGAGTTGAAACTGTGGGAGGACATTGTACAGTCAAAGGAATTACTTGTAGCGAGAAGGAGACTGTGTTTATTCCCTGTGACAATAGTGTGCTTCTAAGAAATTTAAGATTTTGGCCTCAAACTGTTGTAAGAGGTAGCAGGGCATAGCAGTGCGGGTAGTAAGGGGAAGGAGGAGCTGAACAGTTTCAGTATCTTACTACAATCTGGTAATTTGTCAGTCGTGCTGAAATACTTTCCTGAGTTGGACTTTTCTGTCTGTTAAGCTTTGCATGGCGACTATACCCTCATTTTTGTGCTGCTTTGCAAAAATTAATTGTATTTCTCTTAATGCAAATTAGTATTACTAGTTTTTTTTTTAATTGGAGGAAGAATGAGCGAGGTTGTTAACCAGATAAGCACCTCCTAGTTCTCACCAGATTTTCTTTTGAAATGGGTTTGCAATATGCACTATATGCAGAGAAGTTTCGTTACTCACTAAAGGAAAAAAAAAGCCCTTTTACTGTTTTAACTTGGATGTTTTAATGTTATTTGCGATCTGTCTCTTTTTATCAAAGGAAAAACAGAAACCTAATCTTCAAATGTAATGCTTTACCTTTGTAGTTTTTCATTTTAGCCTAGTAAAATGGAGACTCAAAGTAGTTTACTACCTTAAAACACTTTATACTGCAAATTTTGCTTTTTTCTTCCAAAATGTGTCAAGGTTTTTGTTAGTGTAGGCAGTGTGTTGTTATAGTTTCTCTTTCTGACTTCATGCCTTAAATGAAAAAGGATTGAAACACACACAGTTGATTAAAATGGTGATGACTTTTAACAGAGATTAAAATGAATACCGTCCACAGAACTTTTAGAGCCAAGAAATTTTTAAAACCCAGAAAATAAAACTTAAAGTACATACCCAGAATGAAATATGGAGAAAAGATTGTATTCAGCAAGGAGAACTGGGACAATCCTTAAATTTAAGCACAGTAATTAGTGTTGATGTAGTAACCTTTAGCTTGTCTGATATTTTCCCTGAAATGCTACTTTATGGCAGGTACTGTTCTGCTTGGTTAAACAGCAATAATGGGGGATGTAATAAGAAAAATGCCATTGCCTAAACCATTGAAAGTTCATGTGAATCCATCAATATAAACTTTCTGGAATTGCATATTGATGTGAAAAGTAGATTGCCACTCTTGCGATGATTCACTGTGCTTGTGTCAAGAAATCAGTATTTCAGCTACTTTAGTTAAATCAAATCATGTTTTGAATAGAGCTGCTAAGAATCTTGCTAACCGTTTATCTGAACAGTAACATTTAGATTTCAAGTTAAACTTTAAATACGTTTCTGAAACTTTTTTCACCACTGTTATACAGACTGTAATTACCTTGGAAATAGGAACACAGAACCATGCATATGCTTTGTCCTTTCTTGTCTCTACCTAAGCTTTTAACTTCCTTTTCTGCAGCCTTTCATGTTTCCTCTATCCCAGACTTAACTGTAAAAGCTTTTGGCTTGAGAATGTAGTATGTCAACATCTTTAACTGATTATTTGCATTTATTTCCAGGAACAAATGATGAGAAAAAAACAAGCAATGCATTTAGATGCACGCTATGTTACAATGGTAGAAAATGCCTATTACTACTGTAATCCTCCTCCAGCTGAAAAAACTGTGAAGAAAAAACGTCCTCCACTGCAGGAATACATTCGTAAGCTTCTTTACAAGGATCTCTCCAAGGTCACCACAGAGAAGGTAAATACATTTGAAATTTTTGATACAGGTTTTGCTGGAAGTAATGTCATATTAACTTCCAAAGGGCTTGGGGGTGTGGGGTGGGGTTATAATTTTTTTAATTGTGAGGAAGAGGGATTGTTTTTGTATCCCTGATTGTTAAGGTAGTTTCATTTCTTTTATTGTAATGCATGGAAGCTCCACTCATGGACCTGCATTCTCCACAGTCATTAAGTGTGGAACAAATAGGGAATGAAGTAAGAATGTTTGTACTAAATATCTTGCATTCAGAGTGAAAGACTACAGTTAAATACAGACTGTAGGAGCAAAGAAATTACAGAACTTATTTGGACAGCTTGATAAGCAGTTAGAGGATGGCATTTGGGTTATATCTATGAAGTTTTCTATAGCTACTGCAAATCTGGAAGACACTTGAAAAAGAGAATGAGATTGCTTGCTGATGCTTTCAGGGGTTTCATCCCAGCCATGAGGGAGAGAGAGGGGATGACAGTGAATATCTTGATATTTTGTCTGCTAAAATGTTAAGCTTGTCTTAAAACTTGGTTTAGGTCCTGAGACAGATGCGCAAGCTGCCTTGGCAGGATGCAGAAGTAAAAGATTATGTTATATGCTGTATGATCAACATCTGGAATGTGAAATATAATAGTATTCACTGTGTAGCCAACCTCTTAGCAGGGTTGGTCCTTTACCAGGAAGATGTTGGAATCCATGTTGTGGATGGAGTCCTAGAGGATATTCGACTAGGAATGGAGGTAAACAACGGCGTTTTTATTAAGCCATACTCATCTACTTATGTAGAAAGGAAAACAATAAAATAATAATCCTTAAAGAAAAGAATCCTTGGATTCTGGATTTTTGTCTGATGAATTTTCTACCTGTCTCAGTTACTTGTTTTATGTAGGTTTATTTAGATTAAAAAAACAAACCAACAACTACCCTCCCAAAAATCAAGCAATTGCAGAGATTACTAGGGCAGTTATTTTGCTTCCCTTATAGTTAGTGGATATAATGTATTCTTACACGGTGTAGTGGGATTCATGCAACTTCAAGGGACTTTGGAGACTAGTCCATATTTTGATACGGGCTATAGTTACAAGAGTTCTCTGGGCAATGAAAAATCATCATAGATTGAAGATGGGGTACGTTAATTGTATTTGAACTTTATAATAACTCCTAGTTGAACAGCTTTCAGAAATACCTTCATTATTTTTTAATGTTCAATTATGTGTAACGTGCATAACAGTAAATAATAATTTTTATTGCAATGAAATTGATCAATTTAAAATAAAACAAAAAAAACCCCAATGAAAACCCACAAACTTTTACAAAGATTCTGTTGTATCTGCACGATGAAGTGATTTTTGTTGTTGTTGTTAAAGGTTAACCAACCAAAGTTTAACCAGCGCCGGATCAGCAGTGCCAAGTTTTTGGGGGAGCTTTACAATTATCGAATGGTGGAATCAGCTGTAATATTTCGAACTCTGTATTCTTTCACATCATTTGGTGTGAATCCTGATGGTAGTCCCAGTCCATTGGATCCTCCAGAGCATCTTTTCAGAATCAGACTAGTCTGTACAATCCTCGATACCTGTGGGCAGTATTTTGACAGAGGATCGAGCAAACGAAAACTTGATTGCTTCCTTGTATATTTTCAGGTATTCTTAACTAAATTTTATATAGTTCTGTAGATTTCTTTAACAAGCTAATGTGGGTCAGTCTGTTACAGATTTCTCTCGTTGTTCTCTATCACTATAATTTTTAGAATCCTGTCTAGTAGCAATTTTATTTTAAAATAATGTATATGTTCAGTTATGTACATGCTACTGTTCCAACAAACTTGCAGAACACTGGGGTAGCAGTTAATTCACTGAAGGGTTTAGGTTCCCTCCTTCCAGGGAGTCTCAGCAAGTGGGAAAAATGGGCTTTGTGAATTCTGGCAAAGGTAAGTGTCAAGTCCCCCAGTTGGGATGGAATAGCTCTGGGCAACAATGCCGCCTGGCTTTGACTACCTGGAAAACAGCATGGCAGGAATAGAGCTGGGTCTCCTGGACTGTATGAAAATGACATCAGGTTCTGCACCATTAGGGTGATGAAGGCCAACAGCATACTGTGTTACATTGGCCAGGATGTAGCCAGTGGGTTCCTCCCCTCACCTCTTCCTTTCTGCTTGGCACTTGTTGAGGCCACACAGAATCATAGAATGGTTTGGTTTGGAAGGGACCTTAAAAATCGTCCAGTTCCAACCCCCCTGCCATCAGCAGGGACACCTTCCACTAGACCAGGTTGCTGAAAGCCTCATCCAACCTGGCCTTGAACACCTCCAGGGAGGAGCAGCCACAGCTTCTCTGGGCAACCTGTTCCAGTGTCTGACCCCCCTCCCAGCAAGGAATTTCTTCCTCATATCTCATCTAAATCTCCCCTTGTTCTATCACTCCCTGCCCTTGTCAAAAGTCCCTCCCCAGCCTTCCTGGAGCCCCTTCAGGTACTGGGAGGCCGCTATAAGATCTCCCCGGAGCCTTCTCTTCTCCAGGCTGAACAGCACCAACTCTCTCAGCCTGTTCTCATAGGAGAGGTGCTCCAGCCCTCGGATCATCCTCGTGGCCTCCTCTGGACTCATTCTAACAGGTCCATTGTGTTGGAGCCTCCAGAAGTGGATGCAGTACTCCAGGTGTGGGGCCTTACGAGAGCGTGGGGCCTCACCTGGAACAGTTTCCAGTTCAGGGCTCCCTGGTAGATGAGAGCAGAGACATCAGCAAACTGAGTTGCGTTCAGTGGAGGGTCACCAAAATGATCAGGAGGCTCTCAGTTCTCACATTTGCTGAGCTTGGAGAAGAGAATGCAAATTAGGTTGCTGTCCTCAGCTAATAGTGTTTGTAGAGAGGGAGGAGTCAGATACTTCTCAGGCATTCGGGGTGAAAGGATGAGGAGTAATAGTCACACGCTGCACCAAAGAAAGTTCTGACTCAATAGATGTAAGGGGGAGGGGGAAAGATTTCATAACGGGAGTGTTTATACAGTGGCGTGGGTTCCTCTGGGCAAATGGGGAATTCCTATGGAATTCATGCTTAAACTCTTTAGACTTAATTTCTTCCTCTCTCTTTAAATTATACTAAAACAAAGTTATTAAAAATGAAGGTGATAACTTATTTGAGACCTTCAGAATGCATATCCTTCATCTGCATCTGAGATGGAAAATGATTTTTTTTGAAGTACAGCATGGTCCTATTTTTAAACCCAAAATAAACCTGTCATTGAAGAAGTCATTGTGTTTTTGTTACACCTTACAATTTCAACAAATGGTCCTTTTGACCATGTTGCACTTTATTTAAACATTCTATTACTCATACTTCATTTTCAGATGCAATTTTTGCAACCCCTTTGTTCTCAAATTCTACTGTTAGGTTCACTTAAGATCAGTATTTTTTATTTTTCACAGTTTTCTTGTAAGGGGTATGCTCTAATTTGTTATAAAGCGAACTGGATAAGTCATTTCATGTTTGCTACAGTCTTATAAACTTTTTATGATGTTTCCCCCCTTCTCCCCATAATAGGCCTTTTGGGGAATTAATTTTCTTGAAAATATGTGGAGGAAGGAATTGAAATCTGGCTGATTAAACACTCTTCTCTCAGAAGAATCTGCCCTTAGAAGGCACTTCCCTTTCAGTGCTCTTTTGTTCAGTCTTCATAATTCTAACAGTCATTATGATAAAAGGAGCATATTCTTGATGTTTGTGATATCCAGTGTTATCAAACAATGTTTAGTGATATCAAAATGTCTAATAGCTTTATGAAATAAGATTGTAGTGATGTGAAATCTTTTGCATTTTCTACTTCACAAACATGACTAGGCATTACAAACTTCATAAGTCAAATAGTTTATAAATGCCAGTGTGCATATAATTTATTTGACTGTTTTGTATTCTAGCGGTATGTTTGGTGGAAAAAAAGTCTGGATGTTTGGACAAAAGACCACCCCTTTCCTATAGACATAGACTATATGATCAGTGATACACTGGAACTGCTGAGACCAAAGATAAAGCTCTGCAATTCTCTGGAAGAAGCTATCAGACAGGTGCAAGACTTGGAACGAGAATTCTTAATAAAATTAGGTAAGAAAATGTGTAGGGGAAATGAGGTCTTCTTTGACAATTCCTGTATTTCTTAAAATTCTTTTGTATGATGATGATGATATTTAACTATTGTTATTCTCATGATACGATCTTTTTATTCTCATGATGGAAATATTTTTGTAATTCCTTTGCATTTTCCTGATCACCATAGATTGTACAGAATTGCCATAACTCTAAAGTGATAATGTGGGGGTTTTTTTAAAAAAAAAGAAGTCAATATGAATACTGGTCTAGTGGAAGGTGTCCCTGCTCATGGCAGGGGGGTTGGAACTGGATGATCTGTAAGGTCCCTTCCAACTCAAACCAATCTGTGATAATATTGTAAAAAGTGGAGAGGGAGAGTGTGTGTGTGTGTGTATGTGTGTATATATATATATGTAATTTAAGTGTATGTTGTCGTATGCTGCAAATGATGAGGAAAACTATGAATTTCATTGGAAAAATTCAAGTAGTACACTGTACCACAAAAAGCAAGGAGTATCTGTGCACTCAAGTGCTTCAGGCTGTTGGTTGGTGAGCACTGATGGAAACCAGCCTGGCCACTGTGGTGGGTTGGTTGGTTGCAACTCTGTGTTCCTTACCCAGTTCTGGATCTGACTAGAGCTGCTGTGTCACAGTAAGCGTTAGTGTAAGACTACAACAAAAGAGAGAACACGTTTTGCTTTTGAAAGAGTCACGTACGTTGAGCCTTCCACTTCTTTTGGAATAATTTTAAATGGGCTTTGCATTTCAGTAAAGGACAGAGGATTATTTCCTTTTCATGAATTAGAGCTTTGGTTGGATTATTAAAGGTTTTTTTTCTTCTTAAAATGTCTGTTGGCTGGGTTGCGTGCTAGCTTTTGTAGTTCCTGCTAAGACTACAGTATTGGATATTGATAAATCTTTCTGTGTTAAAAATCAGTTAATTTCAGTAGAAAAGAAGTTGAGCTTGCAGCACAGCTCAGTTGACTAAATACTGGTTAGTATGTGTCTAAAACTACTATTGTCATATTAACCTTAAAATCTTTTGTGCATATCAGTTCTTACTAATTATTGGATATTACTATGCTCATTTCTCATTAAATTGAGTTGTTTTCTAATCTTCCATTTTTATTTGAAGACAAGCTTGTTCATGAAAAGCTTTTATATGTAAATTTAACACTTTCTAGGTGTTAATTATAGCCTTCATAGCACTTCATCTAGTTAGACAAGTCATTTTTTAAGAATAATCCTTTAATCCAGTGGGATGAGTATGTGTAATAGCCAGGTAAAACATTGCAACTTCTGTTTTAGGAGGATTTTATATTTTTAATATGCTGTTCATTTAATTGGCATGCCTTAAAATTACCTACGTAGTATCTGGGATGCAGATAAAAATTTCCTTGTGATATGATCTAAATTACTGACTTTTATGCTCTCAAAATGATTACCAAGAAGTAATTTATGACTAGTTACATAAGCTGTAATATTCTTTTGAAAGATACTCAGCACTTCTTTCCTCATAAGAACTTCTGTTCCCTGAGTGACCACCACTATAGCAGTTGAATTTGGTGTAGTTAAGGGGGAGATGTGTGGTCACTGAATCACAGAATTGCCTTGATTGGAAAAGACCTTTAAGATCATTGAGTCCAATCATTAACCCAACACTGACAAGTCCCCAACTAACCCATGTCCCTCAGCACTGTGTCTACACAACTCTTCAATCCCTCTAGGGATGGGGACTCCACCACTGCCCTGGGCAACCCCTTCCAATGCCTGAGAACCCTTTCAGCAAAGAAATTCTTCCTCACATCCCATCTCAACTGCCCTTGGTGCAACTTGAGGCCATTTCCTCTTGTCCTGTCACTTGTTACTTCGTTGAACAGACCAACCCCCACCTCTCTCCACCCTCCTTTCAGTTGTAGACAGCAATTAGGTCTCCTCTCAGCCTCTTTTTCTCCAGGCTAAACAACCCCAGTTCCCTCAGCCATGAACTCATCACACTTGTGCTCCAGCCCCTTCCCCAGCTCCGTTGCCCTTCTCTGGTCATGCTCCAGCACCTCCATGTCCTTCTTGGAGTGAGGGGCCCAACACTGAACCCAGCACTCGAGCTGCGGCCTCACAAGTGCCCAGTACATGATGATGATCACTTCACTGGTCCTGCTGGCCACACTGTCCCTGACACAGGCCAGGATGCTGTTGGCCTTCTTGGCCACCTGAGCACATTGCTGACTCATGTTCATCTGGCTGTCAGTCAACACCCCCAGGTCCCTCTCTACTCTCCAGCCACTCCTCCCCAAGCCTGTAGCGCTGCTGGGCGTTGTTATGGCCAAATGTGAACAAGCGTTGGAGAACATTTTACTGTGTTTGTTTTGGCACAAGCAAAGCCTGTCAACAATATAGCCTTTGAAGAGGGGGTTGTGTTTTGTGTCCCCCCCAAGTGTGTTGCTTTTCTTGATATCAGTATTGCTTGCTTGCTATTAACCATCAGTGTAGTAGGGTGGGATAGTTCCTATTCCTCCTATTAGGACCCTTTGAAGAGAAGGTTGTCATCTGCCTTTCTGATCTTTGATGATGGTGGGTACAAGCATCTCTGAAGGAAATGAGTTTAGCAAAATCTCTAGTAAAATTGCAGTTCTTGATCAATTTGTCCTCCTGGTTCCTTGGCCCATGGGCAGTACCACTGAGAAGGCTTTGGGCTGAAGACCATGAGGTGCTTTGCTCTTTATCAGTCTGAAGTGTAATGCTAGGCAGAACAGTGGGGTGGCTTGTTCCCTGCAGACCTTGAGCTCGGGACTTGCTGTTGGTACCTGTGCCACTCTGGTGATTTTGTACCATTGAGAATATACTGAGTGGTTCAAAAGAAACTCCTGCGTAATTATGGAGCAGCACAGATTTGGAAGAGCATAATGTTTATAAGTAGGGGAGGAAAAGAATGCTTTAAAAGCTCTGGAATATGAAGGAGGAAGTGTGTGCATGTGTTCACACAGAACTGAAATCCTCAGTAACTACCACACAGTAGCTTCTTGATTGCTGTTTGTTAGATTTTAAACATTCTCTGTAATGTTTTCCTCCTTTCCTGGCAGGGACATTGTTACCCTTTATAAGTAAGGTAACGATATATAGACAAGTTTCATTCAGAAATCAAATGTTATGACCCATTGGAAGTTTTAGTGTTCAGTAGCAATGGACTTTTGAAGTGATCTTCCACATAAAACTTGAGGGGTTATATGTGATGTAATGTTCTAATTCTGTTCTAGTTCCTCGTTCTAATTCTTCCTCTTTTTCCAAATTTCAGGAATTGTGAATGACAAAGATTCCAAAGATTCCATTACAGAAGGAGAGAACCTGGAAGAGGATGAAGAGGAAGAGGAAGGAGGAGCAGAGACAGAGGAACAATCTGGAAATGAAAGTGAAGTAAATGAGCCAGAAGAAGAGGTGAGCTTAATAATTTACCTTGCCTCGCATAAAAAGAATGAGCGATCAAAATATTGATTACTCATTACTTTCTTAAGTCCTTCTGTGTCACAGAGTTAGCAGGTGAAATGGGAGTGTGCACGACCCAGTCAGTAGTCTAAGGCTATTTCCATCCCAGCTTTGTGTATCTGGAAAACTGAATACAGAGTGTCTGAGGCTTATTCCAGAGAAATTATCACAGAAACTTGAACCTGACAACTTTGTTCAGGGTACGTGCTGCTTCTCAACAAAAAGATGCCTTCAGTTTTTTTGGCATGAAAACACTTTCAGATAATTTTCTTTCTGTTGTACAAGCAAATGTATTGACTAGATGTCAAAGCAGTCATGTAGGAAAAATAACAGGCGTTCAGAGTATGCCTGTATAATATGAATAAATAAAAGATTTATAGAGCATAACAGCCTTCCTTGTTTACTGTGCCAGTAATCTTTTGAATCAAAAACGGTGGAGCCAATAAAAAAAACAGACGTGTACATGGAAATTCTAACTTGTCACTATGACACAGCAAAGTTGACATGATAATGGTAGTGTTATGAAAAAATGAGTTAATCAAGGAAATAGGAAACACTTTTTCTCCTTATGCTTGGGTTTGTTGGTTTTTACGAAAGCTTTCTTTCAGTCTATGCCTCTTAGCGTTGAAGTTACTGAAGTTTGGCTGGGTTTGTGCCTTTACTTGCAAATCAATAATATTACTAGATTCATAAATGGCTGGGGAGTGGGGAAGGGACCTCTGGAGATCTTGTCCAACCCCCCTTGCTCAAAGTAGGGTCACCTACAGCAGGGTTTGAGTATCTCCAGTGATGGAGGCTCCACAACCCCTCTGGGCAATCTGTTCCAGTGTTTAAACATCATCACAGTAAAGGTGGCCTTTTTTCTTATATTTAAATGAAATTTCTCAACTGTAGTCCATTGCCTCTGGGTCTGTCACTGGGCACCACTGAGAAGGGTCTGACTCCCTCTTCTTTGCTCCCCCCCTTCAGGTATTTATACACATTGAGGTCTGCCATCCCACCCCACCCTGAGCTTTCTCTTCTCTAGACTAACCAATGCTACCTGTCTCAGCCTCTCCTCCTCTGACAGGTGCTCCAATCCCTTAATCATCTTTACAGCCTGTTGCTGGACTTTCTCCAGTATGTCCATGTCTCTCTTGTACTTGAGAACCCAGAGCTGGATGCAGCACTCCAAATGTCTTGCCAGTGCTGAGCAGGCAGGAAGGATCACCTGCTTTGACCTGTCAACAACACTTTCCTAAGGCAGCCCAGGATGCAGTCAGCTGGCTTTGCTGCAAGGGTGCATTGCTGGTTCTTGGTCAGTTTGTTGTCCACCAGGACTCCAGGTCCTTCTCTGCCAAGCTGCTTTCCAGATGGGCAGCCTCCAGCCTGCGTCAGTGAATGGGCTTATTGCTCCTGAGATGCATTTCTGAGATGCATTGCTCCTGATCTTTGCATTTCCCTTTGTTGAACCTCATGTGTTCTTGTCAGTGTGTCCATTCCTCCAGCCTGTTGAGTTTCCTCTGAGTGACAGCCCAACCCTCTGGTGTATCAGCCACTGCTTCCAGTTTTCTGCTGTATATTTGTAAAAATGTCAGATAAAGCTGAGTGATTTCAGACTGAAACATCAAATACCAAACATAACAAATTTGCTAAGACTGAACTGAGCTAAATGGGTTCAGATGAGGAGAAGAGGGTAGGAAAGGTGCAGAAAATTTTTATGAGAAATCAGATGCAAGTGACCTTTTGTGTTTTAAAACAGAAGTTATTCTCTTCTCAAATTTTAAAACATTGAATATTTCAGGAGGGCTCTGACAATGAGGAAGAAGAAGGTGAAGAAGAAGAGGAAGAAAACACAGATTATCTTACAGACTCCAATAAAGAAAATGAAACTGATGAGGAGAATACAGTATGTATTGTTACTGTCTAAAGTTAATTGACTCTTGCACCTTTGGTTTTCTTTACTGAATGTTTTTTGCCAGTGCTGCTCATAACATATCTGGGAAAGCACAGCAAGAGCACTCCCTGCTATTCTTTCAAATATGTTTTAGAGTTTATTTCTGTATTTGCAAGCTTTCACTATTACCTCCTGAAAATATTTATGCTGTCAACTTCACTACAACATGTTTTCACAGGACTGTGCGCTTTCACAGGTAGCTAGACAGGAAAAGATTGCATAAATGATGGCTTTGCAATGCCAGCCATGGTAGCAAACCACTCTGGTACCACAAGGTAAACTAGTTACTCTCCACTAGACCTCAAAACTGAAAAGGAGGCAAACCAAGAAGTGTAAAATTCCTGAAGTACGGGTTTGGGATTGGCAGATTGTAACATCTGTTATAAAAGAACCTATTGGTTGAGCCTTAATTGCAGTTACATAGTAAGGAAAGTAATGATGGTTATAGAACAACTGACAGATAGTGTTTGTCTTGAAAAGCTTTATGGATTTAATGGACAAAATAGTTAAATTATGTGTGGTAGGGATAGAGATTTTCTTTCTATTGTTGCCATGTCTAGAATATGTATATATGCATCTGTACACATAGGCTAGTATGTCATAATGTTATGAGTGGCCAGCCTTCATAAACATTGATGCCATAAACACCAGAAAATACTTCTTCAAGAGAATAATCCAGGCTGAAAACTTTTTTCTTTAACAGTTTTTTTCCTAAGCTTTTGATTATGTATGATATGGAAGCAGTAAGGACTTTTTCCCCTTGTTTCTAGACTGAATATTCATATTTCTGGATCTACTGTAATAGAAGTGGTTTGGGTTTTGGTTTTTTTTCCCATTGCAATAGGAAGTAATGATTAAAGGAGGAGGACTTAAACATGTCCCTTGTGCAGAAGATGAGGACTTCATTCAGGCATTGGATAAAATGATGCTGGAAAATCTTCAGGTATAAATGCTTATTTTCTTAAATTAATATAATTTGCTGTACAGCTAACTGGATTTGATTTTTTTTTTTTAAAGTAAGATTAATGCCTATTTTACGATACTAAAGAACATGGATTGTTATTTTTTTCTCTTTGTTTTGGCCTCTTCTCTGCATTTGACATGCTTGAATAAGTAATTTTTAGTAAAAAAGCTGTTAATTTTATTGTTTGCCCAGTGAATATATGACATGCTAACAGAATAAATAACAACTGCATCAGATATTATGCAATGCTTCTGACTTTATCTTAGATGATCCAAGCCTAGGTTTTAATATGTTTAAAATGTAGCTACATTCAAATTTACATAGCATTTAAGTCCTTTTTTTTTAGTCACATCTGGTAAATATTTGAGTATTGCAAGCCCTGTGTGAGGAATATGTTAACAACATGCTACAAAAAAGTCTTGAATGTAGAGTGTCCATCCTGAAGTGTATTTAATCAAGTCTCTAGATTTCTTTCCTTACAAGGTGAAGTTATCTTCACAAGCAAGGAAATCAAAGGATAATGTAATAAAGCCCAATACATTTATTTCTATATTACTCTGTTTTCTTGGAAGGTTAAAACTTTTCTCAATCATGAAAATACGGACATGGCCAGACTGGCTGCCACTTTTAACATCTGATCATTTATAGAATTTACTTTTTTTTAATAGCAACGGAGTGGCGAGTCTGTTAAAGTACATCAGTTGGATGTTGCTATTCCTCTACATCTCAAAAGTCAGCTCAAGAAGGGTCCCCCACTTGGAGGTGGGGAAGGAGAGTCAGAGTCTGGAGACACAATGCCATTTGTCATGTTAACACGAAAAGGCAACAAACAGCAGGTAAGGGTTCATGTAAGGTATGGATATCGCTTAAACAAATAAAATCCTTGCACTTTCTGAAAGTCACACTCTGTGACTTTATGTCGTCCCAGAATTTTTTGTTTCTTCATCTTTTTATCAGATTAGGATGCAGGCATCTTAATTTTGATCAATTGAGAATACCATATGTAGTTTCTTGGAATTCTTGGCTGTTAATTCAAATAATGTAGGAAAATTCTGTGGTTACATTATACCATTACTAATTATGTTTCATGATCACACCAGTGGGACAGTAATATGTTTTACCTGTATTTTAAACATAGTTATTGAAAATGAATGTTTGTGGTTGGTGGAAGTTAAAAGGAGTAAAAAGAAAAGGAGAAAAAATATTCCAGAATCTTCAAGATTCTACAGATTTTTTTTTTCTGAAAACACATTCAGCTTCAAATCAAGATATATGATGTTTGCTAAATTCCATTTCCTAAGTAACTGCCACTTGGTTGAATTTGTTCAAGTTGTAAAAAAGTCGTTATCTCTGAAGGCTTTTTTAGGAGACTCTTCCAGAATGTGCTGAGTGAATTCCTCAGAGAAACTGAAATGGAAATCATGTTGATAAATAAACCCCTTACTTCATGTGGCCAAGCTATACATTTGTCTTGGCTCTTTTCTCCAGTATATATTTGAACTTTGCTGGGTCAGCAAATACATAGTGTACAAATCGATCCCTAACACATTCTACATGCATTTCTCCTCATGGTTTAGGTCCTTTAAAGAAACCTTTTCTTTTTGGTTGTATAAAATGATGATGAAAGTAAATGACTCTAGTGACTTTGTGGAAAGCAAAACCAAGGCGTTGTTTTATTCCATGCATCTGTGCCTTTCAAGTGTTTAGATCTAAGTCATCCATGCCATTGCTTTGTTTTAACTTCTGTGACCTGAATTATGGCAGTGTAACAGTTGAGGTGTAAAAGCTGATGTGGAATCTTTCCCTTTCTTCATGTGAAAGACAGATTAAAAATCCATGTAGAAAGTGAGGTCTGTTTTCATAAAACCCTTGAACTAGTGAGTGTGTGCGATTCCAAATCTGGTTTTAGGCCTTACTAGTCTGTTAAGAAAATGCTGTGCTATGTAAGTGCTCTGAAAATGTAAGTGGTGATACGTATTTGAGTGGGAACATACAGGCTGGTGTTTAGTAGTGCTGATTGACTGATTTCCAGGAAAACAGAATAACCAAATGTAGGGAACTTGAAATTGACTGATTTCCCCACATTTGATTATTCTGTTTTCCTGGAACTTGAATGTTGTATACAAATGGTGTACAGAAGTTTTGAGTGGGGATTATTTTTTTTCAGGATAATTTACTGGGAGTATCTGTAGTGACCAGGAATTTTAGGATCTTCATATTCTGTGTGAGGAGAAAGTATCACTGACGTGTGGCTTGAAAAGAAAGCAGAACTTGTTCGGGAGCTTTCCCTGCTCCTCCCCCAGTATTTGGTTTTGGGAGTAGGCTTTTCCTGCCAGAACTCCTCTCAATTTCTAGAAACGTAGAAAACAGTTGCTTTATAGACTACTTCAGTTCTTGAGTCAATGAAAGGCTTCTTTGTCCATAGTTTTGTGTTCAAGGAAAAAAAAAATACGTCTGAGTAGTTGGTTTCAATAGAAAAATAAGCAGGAAAGAAGAGGTGGAGTTGAAAAGAAAATAATTATTCTTTTTTATAGTGCTGTATTTTAAATCTGCATGAGCAGAATGTGCACCGAGGTTTGATCTGATGAAAGTGCACTTTACTGTGAAGTTATAGCTATAAATTTTCAGCTTTTAAAAACCAGTCAAAAGGAGCTTTGACAAGACAAAATATTTCCTTTCATTCAGAAGATTTTTGGTAAGATTGCCTGAAAGAATGGTAATATACATAGAATCGTCAAGTCTGTCCTTGAATGTGCAGTTCTTTATCTCAGTGACATTTTTATCAAATCTGTGATCTAATCTAGTCTACTGAAAGATCATTTTTCAGATCTTTCTTCAGTTTGCCATCTTCTACGTTGGAGTCCCCATCTTACAGATCTTACCCAAACGTGGAAGAGGTATATCAAAAACCTCTTGTATCGGAAGTGTTTTGTTTGCTTGCTATTAATCATATCCTTTAGTAATTGTCATCAGTGATTTGATTTCAGATGGCAGCCATCTGATTGCCTTGAGGTAGTGACTCAGTGATATTTTATTAATTACCAGTCTGGTTTTATGGTATCTGTTTCTTTCATTTGCACCCTTCTGTGTTTCACTTTTCTTTCTTCTATTTAAGCATCCTGTCTGAAAAAACTTACCCATCCTATTAAACTGATAAATCCATAGAACAGACAAAATATGAAGGACATATTAAGATGAATGAGGAGCTTAATGGTGAAGCTAGGGAATGATTTTTATCATTAAATTCTGCTAATGGGTTAGTTCTTTGTGTAGTTCGCGTAAAGCTCAGTTGACAGTATCTGGAAACGTGTAGTTCAGCTGTAAGTGACTAAAGCTCACTTTTCTGTTGGAATTTCAAGAACTTTCATTTTTATTCTTCCCCACACAGCTTAATAATAAGCTTGTATTTATGTTGAATATAATAGGCTATTACCCGCCCTCCCAAAAAAAGCTCTTTTGTCCCAACAAAATAGAAACTTCTTGTTGGTAGGTTTTCACTGTACCCAGGTTTTTCTCCAAGTCTTTGCAAGAGTCTGTCTTAAATGTTTCAAACACTGTTTATTTTCAAATGCTGCATCTGAGTGCTTGGTGTCTTCTCACACTCATCATTCAGCTGCTGCTAGTGGGGCACTACTATCTAATAGATACCTTGAGATTTCTTAATTATTGCACTAAATACTAACCAGGTGCAGTAAGGATTTTGTTTTTCTACCTACCCTCTCAACAGAGGTTTTGATAATGTATCTTTCTGTCTGCAGCTTTTGACAGCGTAGCAGAAAAGAACAGTTAGCAATTTGCTCCTCCTTTGGTTTCTGTGGAAATAGATCTCAGATGACAAGAACAAGCAGCAGGATTCAGACTAGTTCCTGGAATTCTGAGAACCATTATCCTTAAATGCGTTACCCTACTTACAGCACGGAAATATTTCTTTCTAATGGATGTGCAGTTGAAGGGGGAAGTAAAATTTTGCTCTAAATATATTCACAAACTTCAACATTAAGGGGTTTCTGAAAAATATTGTTGCAGTTACAGATTAAGAATAATTTCTTTGTTTTGAAACAATTTTACAGACTTTTTCTGTGAAAATAAAAACTTGGATTTTCTGAGTCTGAGGAAAAAGAAAGCATCTCCCCTATGCTTCTCTGAAAATCTCTATATTTTTCAGAGAGAAGGTGCTTCTGTAGGAGTAGTACCAAGCTTACCTTTAATGTAGCTTATGGCAAATCAGATAATGTGTTGAATGCGTAGTGTGGATGTTCCAGTGCTGAGGAGGAGGGAGAAAAGATTGAATTGGCACCACCATTGTCTCCAGACTAATAAGGAGCACAGTGAAACTAGAATCACTTGTAAAAGGAAAAGTACCGTCCAAGGAGTGCCAGCGGATTTCTGAATCATAGAATCATAGAATGGTTTGGGTTGGAAGGGACCTTAAAGATCATCCAGTTTCAACCCCCCTGCCATCAGTTCCACTAGACCAGGTTGCTCAAAGCCTCATCCAGCCTGGCCTTGAACACTTCCAGGGAGGGAACATCCACAACTGCTCTGGGCAACCTGTTCCAGTGTCTGACCACCCTCACAGTGAAGAACTTCTTCCTAATATCTCATCTAAACCTCCCCTCTTTCAGCTTAAACCCATTTCCCCTCGTCTTGTCATTAGTTGTCCTTAGGAAAAGTCCTTCCCCAGCTTTCTTGTAGCCCCTTCAGGTACTGGGAGGCCGCTATAAGATCTCCCCGGAGCCTTCTCTTCTCCAGGCTGAACAACCCCAACTCTCAGCCTGTCCTCATAGGAGAGAAACCCTCGAGCGTTTCTCCTCTGTTATCACAAGGGAAAATAGTAGAAACTCTGCTGAGGGGCTTCATCTCTTTGGAAGGCAGAGACCTTTGGAGGGAGGTGCAGCTTTCTGAGCCAGCTATAGTGGTTTTCTCTCAAGAGCAGTTTAATTCATTGTGAAGGTATTGGCTTGTATGAAAATGAGAAATAAAGCGTATGGTTTTGTGTTTCTGGTGAAGGTTAATTGGTTTTGTTCCCATAAATACTGTGTGTAATAGTCTTTTGCCTTAGCAGTACATCAGCCTTTTTTGTACATTCTGTGTGTCTTTAGGGGGTCTGAATAGCTTGTATTTTCTCGTGCTTCCTCGTGTGAAGTAGAGTTAAAAAAAAAAAAAAAATAAAAACAGTTCCCAATAGAAACTTTTGTAGAAAGTATCTCGCCACAATAACCTAGAAATAATCACAACCCTTCTGTATATTGGATTGGTTGTGGCATTTTTTTCTGTGATGGGCACTTAAAAACTTATTTTCATTTGCAGTTTAAGATCCTAAATGTACCAATGTCTTCCCAACTTGCTGCAAACCACTGGAACCAACAGCAAGCTGAACAGGAGGAGAGAATGAGGATGAAAAAGCTCACTTTGGATATCAATGAACGGCAAGAACAAGAGGACTACCAGGGTAAGAAAATCACCAAGTATTTAACTCTTATTTTCAGAGGAGCTTTCATGGATCTACAGAAAATATTATTTGTTACAATTAGTAGCTCAAGTTCTGAATGCTAATTTGTAATATTTCTTGGAAAACCTGTATTTTAGTTTCAGTCATTCATTATTTATTCCCTGGATTCTGTGCTCAAAGAAGTTCTTACAGCTCTTCTGTGCAAGGGAGTTTTCAATAAATCTCACCATTTCAATTTATTTTGGGAGAAGAGAAGAACTGAGATTTTTTTTTTCCTTAAAAATAAGGTAACATAAAATTTAATCTTTTTGTCATAGTGTCTCCATTACTGCAAGACAGTTGAGTTGGATACAAGAGGAATTAATTCTGTGCAACTCTACTTTTTAGATACTGATAGGCAAAGTTATTTAGAATCTTCATTAGTCTTGCTAAGACTTGCGAATACTAAAAGGTAGCCTAAGATGTTGCAGTCTGGTTGTAATCACAATCTAAGTAGTTAATTAGCAGGAAATCTCATTTAAGGTATTTAGTGAAAGGTCATTATTAATCAAGAAATGGGAAATATAAATTAAAGCAGCTCTTAACTCTAAAAGCACTATGGAATCTAATAGTCCTTTCAGAACTTTGATAGTAGGAGAACTAAACCTGTAATTATAAAAAGGAGTATTTTTCCAAAGTGAGTGTCTACAGAGCTCTGAAATGGTAACACAATATATTCTTAGTATTAAACATTGTAATCAGCTTAAAAATTTATTTTTTGAGGCACTGTTCTAAAGCCCACTCCTGAAAAAGGAAGAGAAACAGTAGGCTCTAGAATTAGACATTTAAGTGCTTTTCTCAGATTTTTTTTTTTTTTTGGTGGTTTTTTCCTCATTATCATTTTCCTCACCATTTGAGTTTTTATGCCTTTGTTGGTATCTTTAAAATAAGTCTGTTTAATCTAGGACTTGATTGTGAACAACTGTGCTGTATTTTCTAGGTACTGTGTGTATAAGGCATTAATATAGGGGAAAAATCAACACAGAAGAAATAAGTTTTTACATAATTGACAACAATTTTTAAAAACAGCTGTTGATTCTTTTTTATTAACCTGGGTAATACACACAGTAAAACCAAACTAACAAGGGCATTTTAATCAGACATAAACAGGCTAAATTACATTCCTCCCTGGAACTATTTTTTATTTAGATTTTGTGCATTTGATTATTACTTTTGAAGAGTCACCTTGCCTGTAACAAGTTGGCACATACACATTGGAAGAAAGAGTTGGTTTTAAATTTGTTTCAAGCTTTGAAGTTGCCAATAGAGGAAGAAATCTCAATTTCTGAAAGTATGCCTCAGGGTTGTCCTAACATTTGAATGTATATTTGGATTGTTTTCATATGCACAGGGTAGCTAACAGATGAAAATTCACCAGGGTACTTCAAAGTGGTACAATATAATTACTTAATACTTCAGCAATGTTTATTAGTATTACAAACATTTTTAATTTAAAGAAATATTGGGAACTAGGTGACTCTCTAATTTAGACTAGTATTTTTCTGTGTGGATGACTTTTTTCTTCACTAAAACCAAGGGTGGGTGACATACCTTCAGCCTAGCTAACACATTGTGCTCCTTTGCCATTTCTTCCTTCTATTATCTTCTCAATTACTGACTTTTCATGAACCCCAATATATTCTTTCACCTACAAAGTGAAAAACAGAAGAGACAGACATGCACACACTTGCTTGTTCATTGCTTGCTTCCAGCACCTGGCTGGCAATTTACCATCATCTCTTTTTACTTTCTTCCCAAGTCTTGTCATTGCCAATTGAGATCTTTCCTGGCATACAGAATTGTTTTGAAGGATGTTATTTCATGATGTTTACGATAACAGACTGTTGGTGTGTTGAATGGCTTTCTCTGCCCTTCCCAGGTGTTTACAGGGGAGTATGCAGAGCGTGACTAGGTGGTTTGTTAGCTGTTGACACCATTATTGTATATTAAATTGTTCATAGTCTCCCAGTTTCTCAGAGATTGGGTGGATAATTTACCGAAAGCTTCGTGTGCATTTTGTAAATGGCGAGGAAATCTCATTAGAGTCTCCAGTTTTTCCCAGTGCTAGTCATTGTGAGAGTAGTGTTTGTTTCTAGCAGGTGATGAGTATGTGTCTCCAATGAGATTACCAGAGATTAGAGAACCAGACAGAGCAGACTTTCAAACTTAATCTGTTTAACATCTTATTCCACTTTTCCCCTTCGTTTATTCCATCTGTCTGCTGAGCAATGTAGATTCTTGCACAGGTGGACTGTCAGAAATACTTTCCATTAGATGCACTAACATATGAGCCAGATTACGTGGAGGTTCCTGTGATGTATTCATAATTATATTCATAATTATATTTGGTACTTAATAACAATTAATTTAGCCTGGTAAAGAGTCATTTTTAATTGTTTAAAAAAAATGAAGTTAAATTTTAGAAATGAAGTTTTACCAGTTGCCAAAACTCAGTACTGACCTAGCTTAAACTGCCCAAAAGTTGGATGTCCAGGGCTAAACTGGGTAATGTAGGCTGATTTCTGCACCCACCTGTTTCTTCCCACTGATCATAAAGTGCACAACTCCATCTGTGAGACAGCTGGTGTGATGTAGGTCAGCTGAGTCACCCTCTTCGGATGCCTGTCTTCTCTGTAAAAGGATCCTATTATAGCTAGCTTAGACTTAAATACCTGCCTTCTCAGTGCCTAATTTTAGGACAGGTTTTTCACAGAGTCTTTAATTGGCAGCAACATTGTCCATTTTTTATACTATTTAGGGGTAATTTAATGTTGTGGCTTTTCATACTGCTGTGAAGCTTTGTCCTTGATCATTGATAACAAAAGTGGTGGCTGATATGTTTAGAAAGAAAAGGACTCAGCTCCTTTCTTAAGCACCTGTGATGAAAACTATTGCTGGCAGTTCCTTCTGTAAGAACAGCTGGAAATGTAAGTTCATATTATGGGGTAGCTTGGATTTGTCAAAGCTGTCTGTGCAATTTGGGAACCTTTTTAAGATTAGCTGTTGTGGAATAACGTGAGGAGTGTTAACCCTAAAGTACAACGAAGTGTAAATAAGATATCTCTTTTACTACATGGCAGTGAGATATGCTTGTGTAAATTCAACTTAAAAAAAAACCCCAAAAAACAACTTATAAAAATGTATTTAACTTTCTTCTGTGTGAAATTACAGAAATGTTGCAGTCTCTGGCACAGCGTCCAGCTCCGGCAAATACGAATCGTGAACGACGGCCTCGTTACCAGCATCCGAAGGGAGCACCTAATGCAGATCTAATCTTTAAAACTGGTGGGAGGTAGGACTGTCTTCCTTTAAATGTGGTAATTCTGGTTCTAAGCAAGTAATTACCTTCATAATTGAAACAGATAATGATCTGTGTAGTGCAACTGCATTTGTTAGTTTTTTTCCATTCTAAAGCATTCAGTCAAAATGCTGAGCAGTGTTTTGTGCTTTTAACACAATGTCTGGAAATATGCCCTTGACAGAGGTTTGAAAGCCAGAAGTTTATTTTTCAGTTGTGAAATGACTGGTAGAATCTGAGCCTCCCTTTATAGGGGAAAAGATGCAAATCTCCTTTCTCAGTGAGAGTGAAGAGAAGATTGCTCAAAAATATCTAGAGAAATTCCCATTGTGCTTTTTCAGTTTGGTGAATTTGTGACCTAAATCTCATTTTTTGAAGCCCTGAATGGAAATAAAATATTGTAAATATAGACAAGGAGAGGGGAGGAGAACCTTTTGCTTACGGTGTGCAAGAGCATACCAAAAACAGTATTGACATGAAAAGGGCCATTCTGAATTGCTTAATAGTCATTCTACTGCTTTTATATCTCTGTGTGTCTCCTCTCACTCAGAGTAAGCTTGAGAATAAACCATTACATTAACCCTGCAGCACAAATTTGAATAGACAGTTTCAGGTGAAACAGAGTCTGCTTTCATGTTTCTCTTCTTTTTCCCAGTTAATTTTGGAGGTGGATAGATGGGAACAGCAAGTGGGAAGGGAGAGTTTACCTACTAATGGGTCTGTCTTTGTAAACCAGAAATGAGTTCATGTAAGATAGTATTCCTGTGTTACAGTAACATTGCCAGCTTCTTTCTGGTACATTTTTATAGGCAGTTTGTAACTGATGATCCACTCACTCCACTGAGACCCTAGACAGATACTGCTGGTATAAAAAAAAAAAACCCTCTTTTTTGAAAACAGACTGCATTTTTAAACAAATATTTTTTAAAAGATTAACCAGATATAACTCAATAAAATAAACAGTGTTGTCCTTTCAGATTTTTTTGTACCACTGGCCTAATACTGTCATAGAAATACAAACCATTGAGTTGCACTGGATTGCTGTCGTGCTTGCAGGTGTTTCACAAATGGCTACGCAGTCTTCTTTCAGTCACCTCTCCCAAATGCTTTGCAACCTGTATGAGGAGCACACTGCAGTTATTCTTTAAACATAGCAGCTAAACCAGTAGATGTGATACATGCAGGCTTTTTAAAATGCAGTTCTTCCAAAAGCTCTTGATTTTTTCAAATGTTTTAGGAAAAATATAGTCTAGGACTTCACCATGAACCAGGTCAGACATTGTCCAGCAAACAGCTTAAGTAGTGTTCGCTTGTTCAAATAACTGCGCCATGCGCTTGCGACTGAGCTTGCAATGTAGTTTTGTATTGTGTAGTTTACAGTTTGTTCCTTTTAATCTGTAAGCTCCTCAGAACAGGGACCAGGAAGTTTGTTTTAGCAGGCATGTTTTGTTTGTTGTATAGTGCAACGCTCAGGCTTGTAGTCATGCATCAGTTGAGCCATATTAACCTGTAGTAAGGTTAGTAAGGGAATGATACTTTTCTTAACCCCCACAAAAAGGTATTTAAGAAGAGATTTATTGGGGACTGTGGGTCCACCAGTGGTTTGCCACTCCTGGTATGGATTATCTGTCACCTACACTTCCAGAGCTTGTGATTTGTAGCATATTTTGAAGATTGTCTTCTGACTCTGAAGGCTGAACTGCAGTCTCTCTGCCCAGACTACCCTCATGTTTTAATTAAGTTACCCCGTCGACTCTGAGGACACTAGAGTATCTCCCTGTTTGCTGAGAGCAAAGAGGAACTGAGCTATTAATTTTCGTGTATGTTTGAAGATATTTCACTTTCCTACACGATAGAACCAATTTGTGTAATTACAGATGTTATCACTTCCAAGAAGAGTGAATTATGTTGGGTTGTTTCTTCTTTATATATGAAGACGACCCATACGTTATTTTCTTGCAATAGTAATTCAAATTTATTGGAAATAAGAATGTGTGTTATTTTCTTCAAGGTATGCAGCTTTTTATTTCCTGAGGATAGGAGTAATTTGAGCAAGTAAATCTCCTGACTGATTCTATTGTAACATACCATCTGACAGATGCTGACAGCGAAGGTTGGGATGAGGACTTTCTTACATTAGAAGTAGTGTTAAGAGTAGATAAATCAATTTGGTGTTTTTACCATTACTTTTGTGTAGATAAACACATCCTAAGCACTGTGTTTCAAGCATCTTTTAGAACATTAAATCCAGATCTACCTGTCAGGATGATTCAAAAATTAATGAAGACAGCATTGGGTTCTCTCAGATGTTTTTAGCCTGGAACAACTGGACCTAGCTTTGCAATTAGCCCTGCTGTCACAGCAGGATTTGGACTAGATGACCTCCAGAGGGCCCTTGAATCTACATTTTTCTGTGATTCTGTTTTGGTCTACCGAGGTTCTAAACCAAAACAAAACCAAAAAAACCTAAAACCACCCCTAAATGTGCTGTCCCCTTTGCCTGTGATAACCACACAGACTGAATCAATGGCTGTGGCTATACAGCACGTGTTTTGTTAAAAAACAAGAGAGAAATCTTTTGCAGTGTTTACTTTATATTTGTTAGCTATTAATGTCCTTTTTCTGTATTGAGTTAAATGCAGTGAGTTTTACAGGCTTTGTCAGATTCATACAATCATAGAATGGTTTGGGTTGGAAGGGACCTTAAAGATCAGAGAATTCTTATTATCAAGATTCAATAAATCAAACTTTCTTCTTATTTAGCACGTGCAAAATGCTGGATCAAAAATTGGCATTAATTGCTGTTTATTTGTAATTGCCTGCTTGTACAGCCTCAGGTTTTAAGACTTGCTAAACCTACAAGGAGGAGATTCTTCTTGGGACTCGTAACTTATGGTGACTCCATTAAAATAGGAGTCCTTGCTTCAGCAGAACTGGGCAGGCAACAATTCTCACTCTTGCCTCTGGTTCTGTAGCATTTGTGTATTAAAAAAAGACTTTGGCTATCAAGCTGTTAAACTGATATCTTCAGGAAACACAAAATTTACAAAAAAAAAAAAAATTTTTTTTTTGGTGATGAGATTATGAAAATATTCTTTTACAGCTCTAGAGAACAGCCTCTCACTTTAAACAAAGGAAAAACTTTTTTGGAAGAGGATTGAGGTCCATTAAATGTCTTGCTTGTAAAGTGAAATGTAAACAACCACATTTTACCAAACCTGTTTAAAAACATTGATTACCAAGAAAGAAAAAAGAATTGCAGTGGGAAATTTGACCATAGAGAAGTGGGCCTTACTAAGAAGTTTTTTAACTTGTTAAACCTCTCGTTATTAAAAGCAGTAACCTCAAAACTCACTGCTGTTTTGACAGTGTAGTAAGAGGACCCGTCTGTGTCAAAAAGCCCCTTGGGGATGCAGACGTAAGCTGACAAACTAAATCATATTCAAGTTAATTGGTAATTTCAGGTCTCCTATTTGCATCTGATTCCTTTTTCTCTTTAACTCATTTAATAAGAAAAATGAAGCATAAAAGTAATAACAGGATGCTAGAATTTTATTAGCTAAACATTCTCATAGAGTCTTTCATTAATGCTGAAAAATCAGAGTATGGAGAATAAGGAAAAATGTGAATTTAACATGATTTCCTGTTTCAGCTACTGGACAAACACACTTCATACCTCACCTGCTTTATAGTGATGTATTGACAGAGATTATATTTTGAAACCATGAATTTACTTCTTGCTGACATACCAGAAGTCTTGGGCAGCCTAAATCTGATGTTTCTGTTAGCCTCAGTCTGGCTGCTTGTCATAGCCTGTCATTGTCTCAACCCAGACACACTCCTGGGTGTTGGTGTGGCACTGTCTCCAACTGACAGATCTATCCCTTGGTACATCATGCTGCTTTTGAAATCTTTAGTTGTCAATGTTCTCTTGTATTTAAAAAAAAAAAAAAAATGGAGAGGTCATCACTTCAGCACTAATATTTTGCTTGTGCTTCAGAGATTTTTTTAATGATGAAATGACTCCCATCTTTCACATTCTAGATATTATACACAGTAAAAATTTAAGTGCTCTACGTAATTGTGTGCTAGCTCAGTTCACCTTATTCTTTACCATCTTTTTTATGAGTATTTTAATCTTGACCTCTTTTCAGTTGTCATTCATGATCCTGTACTACATCCTTTTCCCTAATACACACATGCTAGTGTAGCTTTCCATGAAAGCCATTCAACCTCAACAGAGAAATTCCAGCCACCCTTTTCAGCCCTTTTGTGGGATGAGAGCCCAGGGTAGGAATATGAAGGGGGGGTTTCCAAATCCTGCAGCTTCTTTTGGTGCACTGCACTGGAATTGAACAAAATAAAACAAGAAAAGCCAAGTCCTGGTGCAACATGGTGCTTGTTGGGCTCTGCAAATGTACATGCAAGTCTAACCCATATAGCAAAGGTGCAGAGAGACCTGATCACAATCAGCATTTAGAGGGAAAGCGTGGCAAGATTATATTTATTAGCATAGTCATTTAGAAAGACTCTTTGTTTAAAAAAGTTATTTCAATATAAATACATAAATGAAAAAAAAATCAAACCAACAAACCCAAATAAACTTTATGGCTTTCTGGAAACTACCAAGCCTCAAAATACCTTCCTGATAACAGGCCCCTCTGCATAATGTGACTTTGATTTAATTTTGCCAGAGTATTTTATTTTTGTTGAACAGATGAGAATATAAAATAACCTGAACAATTTAAGCTTCTCTTGCTTGAGTGAGCCTAGCTTTTGTGGATTATTTGAATCGGTGATGTTTACAGTATGGAAGTTGATAATTCAGATTCGTTAGGAATGTTAGGAAATGACCAGGGCACCTTAGTATTTTATTAGTCTAGGAACACATGCTGAACAATCTGAAATACGATTGTTCCAGAGAATGTATTCTTGCACAGCTAAATTGATAACAGTTACTTAAAATCCAATGGTACATTTTTTTTTTCCACAGAAAGGGCTAGGTTAACATTCTACAGAATGTAATTTCCAATTCTGCTGTTGGGAACTTAGTCACACCAGCAGTAATAATGTCTTTAGAATGACTTTAAACACCTCTGCATTTGTTGAAATTTCTCTCCAGCCCGCATTAATGTGCAATATGTCTGTAATCTCTGATACTGCATTCTTTACTGTGGAATCAAGTCACCACACGGCCTGATATGTGAACATACACACACCCATGTGGAAGACAAGTGATGTTTTGTCCAGTTCCGTAGATCTGTGAGACAGGAAAGAAGCTGACTGTGGCATGGCAGGTACTTGAATTTAAGGTTCCCAGGACTTAAGCTGGTACTCTCCAGTATCTTTCTTCTCTTGCCAGTATAAAGGAACATGTGCATACTGTTTATTCTCAAAGGCCAGTTTTCACAGAATCACAGAATTGCCTTGATTGGAAATGGATCATCGAGTCCAACCATTAACCTCACACTGACAAGTCCCCGACTAACCCATGTCCCTCAGCATTGTGTCTACATGACTCTTCAATCCCTCCAGGGATGGGGACTCCACCACTGCCCTGGGCAACCCCTTCCAATGCCTGAGAACCCTTTCAGCAAAGAAATTCTTCCTCACATCCAAACTCAACTGCCCTTGTTCCTCTTGTTCTGTCACCTGTTCCTTGGTCAAACAGACCAACCCCCACCTCTCTCCACCCTCCTTTCAGGGAGTTGTAGACAGCAATTAGGTCTCCCCTCAGCCTCCTTTTCTCCAGACTAAACAACTCCAGCTCCCTCAGTCGCTCCTCATCACACTTGTGCTCCAGACCCTTCCCCAGCTCCGTTGCCCTTCTCTGGACACGCTCCAGCACCTCCATGTCCTTCTTGGAGTGAGGGACCCAAAACTGAACCCAGCACTTGAGGTGCAGCCTCACCAGTGCCCAGTACAACTTCTCTGGTCCTGCTGATCACATTATTCCTCTTTTGTGGGAGGAGAGCTGAAAGCAAAGATCAGTTTCTGTAAGTTCTCTGCTGTCCATGAGGGGAGCAGCTCAGAGCAGGAGTCTGAACTTCAGAGGTTGTTTTCCATTTTCCTCTTTAAGAACAGTCCCCCTGCTGAAGCTCATGCATCTGAAAGCAAGAAAATGTGTTCAGCAGAATAAAACACACAAAACAGAAAAATACATTTCAGGTGTTCATTGTGCTTCTCTTTCATGTTCCTGTTTTTGGTTAATGTGATTAGGAGAGAGAGAGAAGGGAGGGCTCCAAAGCTGAGATTACTCATGAAAAGTGAAGCAGCACATGAGGTTTCAGAGGAGGTGTTTGGAGAAGGAAGGTGCCTGAAATATGTGAATCACAGGATCATAAAATGGTTTGGGTTGGAAGGGACATTAAAGATCATCCAGTTCCAATCCCCCTGCCATCAGCAGGGACACCTTCCACTAGACCAGGTTGCTCAAAGCCTCATCCAGCCTGGCCTTAAACACTTCCAGGGAGGGGGCATCCACAACTTCCCTGGGCAACCTGTTCCAGTGTCTGACCACCCTCACAGTGAAGAATTCCTTCCTAATATCTCATCTAAACCTCCCCTCTTCCAGTTTAAAGCCATTTCCCCTTGTTCTGTCGCTCCCCAGCTTTCCTGGAGCCCCTTCAGGTACTGGGAGGACACTAGAAGGTCTCCCCGGAGCCTTCTCTTCTCCAGGCTGAACAGCCCCAACTCTCTCAGCCTGTCCTCATAGGAGAGGTGCTCCAGCCCTCGGATCATCCTGGTGGCCTCCTCTGGACTCATTCCAGTATGTCCCTGTCTTCCTTGTGTTGGTGGCCCCAGAACTGGATGCAGCACTGCAGGTGGGGCCTTACAAGAGCAGAGTAGAGGGGAAGAATCCCCTCCCTCGACCTGCTGGCCACGCTTCTCTTGATGCGGCCCAGGATATTGTTGGCTTGGTTACATACATAACTCCAGAAATACGTAAAATGTTGTCAGTTGCTGTAGGACATGAAGGGGTTTGGGAGAAGTGTTTAACTTTATCTCAAAGATCTTGCATGTTAAGAAATAATTAGAATGTTTTTGTGATCTTGTGATGTCAGTGATGTGCAAAAGGGAATTGATTGCATATGTCACCTGTATTCTCCTGAGCACATTTCAATTTAAGGCATAAAATTGTCTTGCTGACTTGAATTCTGCCACCTTCCTGTATGCAATGGATCTGCCATTATTTCCTAGCCTATACTATGATGTAACCTCTCTGTGTGGTTTTCTGCTCCAGCCATGAGTAGGTAAAAGTGAATCTGTGTTTCTCCATGGCATGGAGTGTGTAGGTAGTGTTACCACTTAGGCAGTGGTGTGGAGAACATTTCAACACAAATTAGTAACTGTGTTGGTAGCAGGGAAGGGAGGCGAGGGAGTAAATGGCAAAAAGATGGATTAATTTTGCACATAGAGTTTAAGGAGTTTTTAATTACAACTATGTACAAAGTTTGATCTTGCCAAATATCAGTTTGGATCGAGTTTACTAGTTTTGGAGAGAAATGTCACGTGAATGCTTGTTTTTGGAAAAGCTGCTACTAAGGTTTTTACCCAGCAGCACCTTGCCCCTAATCCACTGAAACACGGCTCATTCTGCCTTATCTGCCACCAACACGCCACGGCAGCTGCTGATCTGGGTAGGAGTCCTTTCTACCAAGTTAGATACATCCAGCAAGTCCTGGCCTTTCTCCTTCCCTCCCCATCAGTGGCAGGATTCTTTTTTTAAAGGGAGATGGAGAGGTAAAAGCACAATTCTGCAATTCGTTGATGTTTGAAGTTTCTTCTCAGTTGTAACATTCGGCAAGTGAAATCTCCTTCTACTAAATATATTAAAATTAAACTTCCTTTCTTTTGCAACCACATAGCAAATGTTCCTGATCTCAAGTGTGCCACAAAGAATTGGAACCTTATATTAAGTAACACTAAGAGATGGTTAAAACCAAGTAACAGAACAGCACTGCAGTAAGTTCTAGTGATGCATCAGCTAAGTGCTTCCTGACAGAAATTTTCAGCGTGTTTAAATAAAGCACAAATACTGGATAACAAAACAAAGCAAATAAGAGTTACGCATAAGAATACAGAATAAGAAATACAAATAAAATAAGAATAAAGAACTACTGCACAAATACATAAGAAATAATACAAATATTATCAAATACATCAGAATAGAGAATTACCATGAAAGCTTTATCTGTGACAAGCAATGCAGGAGTTACTATATCCAGTTTAACATACTTGGAGCATTTTTCTCGCAAGATTTTCAATAAAAACTAGATTTAGATTAAATTACCATTCAACCAATGCTGGAGGTTTATGCACTGATGTAAAGAAACATTAACTGTTTTGTTTACGTGGTAAAGGACTTGGGTGTGTAGCCCTGGAGCTTTCTCATAATTGTAAATGTCTAATTTTTTTAGTTTGCTTTGTACTACACTACTAAACTTTAATTTGCAGGCTAGAAATCAACTGGAAACAGGTCAGATACAGTAATTGACAGTTGTGCTGAAGATGATGATACTAATTAGTGTTACTGCTAGATTAGTCTGGTCTCGTTGTAACCTGTGTCTGCAAATCGGTGTCACTTTTCAATGCATATATATGTTCTTAACAGAATTAAATGTGGCTTCTTCTGGGTTGGGACGTGTTTTTCATGAACAAGGGATGATCCAAGGTTTTAACAGAACTGTTGCTCTCTAAAAATGTTCTAAACAACTGTTTGATGCTAGAAAGGCCTCTAAAATTTCTGCAGTACTTGTAAACGTTAAGAAATTGAGTACAAAAAAAAGAATGCTATTTAAAATGACTTGTGTTTCAACAAACTCACAAATCAGCTGCGCGCTTTAGTTTGGCTTCTCATCTTGGGAGGATAAGGCAACTATTTCTGAACAATTTTAGATTCCTCTGCTGAGATTGTGTAGGGGACTTTTTCTGATACAGATTATCAACCTTCTTTTGTCTGATGTAATCTCTTTAAAAGTTTGTGCAGACAATTGTAATATGTAACTTTAATATGTTAGAAGTTAAACGAGTATCAAAATCGCCAGCAGTTGATTCCAGTGGTTGCTAACCCACACAGAACTGGATATTTCATATTAAACTATTTTTTTCTTCTCTTTTCTTTTCTTAGGAGACGTTGATCCAGCAGCAAGTGTCATTTCATTAGGTCCTGTATCTCTGATGTTGTGGATAGTGGAGTCCTCCAGCGATTAAATGAGAGCAGTGGACACATCTCAGCATGTCAGTCTAGAGCGTTCAGAATCGAAACCTGGGACAGGCTGGGGCCGTGGGGCAGAACCAACAGCCTCCCCTCTTCTCCCCCAAACCCACGCAGAACAAGTGGAAGCTTCCAGTCATGGCCTACAAAAAAAAAAAACAAAGGGGCAAAAAAACCCAAAAAAAAGCTTTTTGTTACGGGAACCGCCGCGTTGAGGGTTAATTTTCTCATAAGAGCAGAAGTACATGGATGAGATGGTTAACTCAACCAGTGAGCAACTCTGTGGAAACAAGGATCAACCTGAAGTTCAGATGGATTACACTGGAACGGAAAAGGTCTCTGACAGCTCAGTATGTGGGAGAAACAAGTTCTAAATTTGATGGAAGTTACGTTATCTCTGAATCGAGCACTTTGTGTTGGAAGGATATTTTCTGGGGGCTTGAAAATCTACAGTAGAAAAATGTAGAGCAAATGGTGAAATCTAAAAGAAAAACCCTGACAAGTAGGAAAACTTCTTATCAAACACTCCTCAGCAAGAAAGTTTGTTGGTTAAGGAATCGCCTTTTGCTGCCAGAGGAGCAAGAAAGAGGGAGTGGGGAATGGGGAGGGGTGAAAAACGTAAGAGCCAAGGAGGTGAAATGTCTGTTAAGGTTTAAAACAGAATGTGAAGTTAACAGGGGGTGTTGACTCGTGCTGCTTGGAACAGCCTGACACCAGCCAAAGGACAGGGATATAGTTGAGCCCATTGTATGTATCATCGAAAACCAAAATGTGCCAGTCAGCATAACAGGAGGATGTCAAGGAGTGGATCCAAATATTTTGTTGATCTTCATGGGTTGATAAGCCTCTGTGTCTATTGAAACAAACAAACAAAAGTTTTAAAAAAGAAAAAAAAAAAAGATTTAAGTCTGGAAACAAGTAGAATTTTTATTTTTTTTCTAAGTAGAAATGAGGTTTCTTGGTCTGTTTCTGACAATCCGTTATTTATTAGCATAGTTTTTTGTTTGCTTTCAGGTAGAGGTAGTTAACTGAGTTAAAGAGCTCATCTGTATGTTACTACTAATTCTTTTTTCTAGCTCTTTTAAAAATCCTTTTTACCACTGTTTTTGGTTTCTGCATGTAGGAAGAGAGACTTGTAAAATTGTAACATTTCATACAGAAATGCCGCCCGATCTTCACCAGCTTCAGAAATCTGACCTTTGCCAATGCTGCAATAAAGTGTTGTAATTTAGAATTGGTGTCTGTCTCTTTCCATTCACTTTGTTCTTACGGAATGATGTTTTGAAGAGTTTGTGGTGTATGGTGGGGCTGTAGCTTGGACAGTGCAATGTAAAAATAAATGGCATTTTACCAGAGCAGGAGGATTCCTGCCCCAAGAAACATCACCCTTAGTAAATGCAAGGTTTTCTTACTGTTTAGCAAGGAGTTGTGAAGCAGAGATCATGTCACTTGACATAAGGTGACGTATTAAATTTAACCTGAATTAAATTGGATTTGGCTAAATTAATAATAGTGGAGTTCTCTCTCATGGCTCATTGCATTGACATCTCAGTTTGTGTGCTGAAGTTTGAAAGGGTGAAACGCTGTGGTGGAGCATACGTGGATCAACCCCAGAGAGGAGGAGAACTCCTCTTGGTGATAATTTGCTTGAAAACATCAGTGAAATTGTGGCCAAATAGTGTTTCTGTTGTTGTTTTCACCAGGCAGTCCTGAAATAAAGACAGCAGTCTTCTGCTTTGGCTAGTTACTGTTAGGTCAGGCACTTACAGGGAATTTTAAAGTGCATAAGCTTGCCAGTGAAGCTTTGGAGGGAAGTCAAGGTTCTTAAAATAGACCTGCGTAGAGTTCTGTTATTTAATCACAGAATTGAACATTGACAGTGGAAAACCTGCAAGTGCAGCCTTAGGTCTGCTTCTTCCCTGCACGTGCTGTTCCTGCAGTCGGGGACTGAGAAGTGCTGGAATCCTCAGAGCACGTTTTCCCCGAGGACCTCACTGGCCAGGTTGGTGATGGACAACTTCTAGTTTGCAGAGCACAGACTGAAGTTTTTATAACATCACCCGTAAATGTGTTTCTCTATTTCTGGCAGATCTCATGTTGTGAGGAGGAGAGTATCCTGAATGTGTGTGTGCACCCAAAAGCCCCACCTGCTCACAGCAGTGTCCAGGTACCGCCGCCTCTGAGCCCAGAGAAGGTACTTTCCATGGCGTGGCTGTGGGACGCGCGTGCCCTGTAAGGAGCAGCACCTTGTAGGAAGACCAGATCTTTGTTTCAAGTCTCCTGTGATTCTTCTCATACCAATTTTTTCCACACAAAATTTATTAATCACATTTGTAACTTGGAGCTCCTCCAGGAATGTCTTCTACAGCAATATGACTGTGTCCATTGATCAAATCTATTTTCCACTTCCCTGCTAAAAATTCCTAATAGCAAATTAAGCATCTAATTATGGTTCAAACTAAAGTCAGCTTCCTATTTTCAACATGCTGCTTAGTTTCAAAGGCACTTAATTTATCCAAATTGAATAACTGCATAAAAATAAATTGTGAATTCACATTAGCTTGATTTTCTATCTGTCAGTCTAATGCCTTGGATGGAATTTGAACCAGTGGAAATATCTTCATAGTTATTTGTTGAAAATAGTTTGGGGTCTTCCCATGATTCTGGGAGGCACTTCCTCTGTCTTCCTTTAAACAATATGGAATTAGAAGGGTCAGGTGAGCAGCCTGGTTTTGATACAGGAACAGGGGAATAACCCATATTTTGGTCAGTGCTTGTCTGTTGTCTATTAATATTGATGCTTTATTGAGATCACAGGATGTTTAATTAATTAAATTATCATAGAATCATAGAATGGTTTGGGTGGGAAGGGACCTTAAAGATTATCCAGTTCCAACCCCCCTGCCATCAGCAGGGACCCCTTCCACTAGACCAGGTTGCTCAAAGCCTCATCCAACCTGGCCTTGAACACTTCCAGGGAGGAGCATCCACAGCTTCTCTGGGCAACCTGTTCCAGTGTCTTACCACCCTCACAGTGAAGAACTTCTTCCTAATGTCTCATCTAAATCTCCCCTCTTCCAGTCTGAAGTCATCACCCCTTGTTCTGTCACTACCTGCCCTTGTCCAAAGTCCCTCTCCAGCTTTCTTGTAGGCCCCCTTCTCTCCTTCTCTACTGTCATTGCTGCTCTTTCCTACAGTACAGTGACCTGCAGATGTGACAGGTCACTGGGGAAATCATGCCAAATCCAAGCTGTGGCATCGTTTGGTGGGAGAAAAGATGTTCCCCAGGAGCATTTCTGAAGAGATGCCATTCAAAGGCGCTCTTGCAAAGAGGATTTCTAAAGCAGGTTCCTGAATGTCCATGGGAATAGTTAAATCTGGAAAAATGTACGTAGATGAAGGAGAAATTGTTTCATGTCCTCGATTGCGTAAAAGATTTCTGTTATCTTATCGTCCTCTGGAAAGAATTTGGACTCAAGTCAGGTCCAGGCATTTGAAGTTGTGTCTTCACCGATATGAGGCTCATTTTGCTGGCTTGCTGACAGCCAGAAAATGTGTTGTGTGATTGTACTCAACCATTTTTTTGTCTCTGTTTTCAATGGTAACGTCTCTTCCTGCGTCTCTCCAGCACCTAAATCTCAAGGCAGGGACTGGGGGAATGAAGTCCCTCTTATTGTACCTCATAGACACCTAAGTCTATGAGACGCAATGAGAGGCACCCTACAGCATCCCGGAGGCTGGAGCACCTCTCCTATGAGGACAGGCTGAGAGAGTTGGGGCTGTTCAGCCTGGAGAAGAGAAGGCTCCGGGGAGACCTTATAGCGGCCTCCCAGTACCTGAAGGAAGCTTTTAAGAAAGATGGAGAGAGACTTTTTACCAGGACCTGTAGTGACAGGACAAGGGACAACAGTTTTAAACTGAAAGAAGGTAGTTTTAGATTGGACATAAGGAAGAAATTATTTATGATGAGAGTAGTGAGACACTGGAACAGGTTGCCCAAAGAAGTTGTGGCTGCACCACCATTGGAAGTGTTCAAGGCCGGGTTGGATGAGGCTTTGAGCAACCTGGTCTAGTGCAAGATGTCCCTGCCCACGACAGGGATGAGCTTCAATGGTCCTTTCCAACCCAAGCCCTTCTGTGACTCCATGATTTATGGCACATCACTTGAAAGCCCATTGGAGCTGAGCTGCTGTGTTGGTCCTTGCTGCGGGATGGAGCCGAGGTGGCTGGGAAGCTCCACAAGCAGAGAGTGCTGGGTTCACAGGGGATGTCGGTGCTCCCGGGCAACACCTTGAACTCCAGCTGGTGGCATTGACCTTCTTTCTCTACCCTGCAGTGTTGTAATGTGATAGAATTGGACCAGCTGTCCTCATAGACATGCAGTTGTGTGTGTGTGAGTTGGCTCTTATCTACAGATTCAAGAATAATCTGTGTAGGGATTTTTTATATATGTATATAAAATATACTTGCCCCCACCCTTGCCCCTCCCTGGAAGTGTACAAGTCCAGGTTGGATGAGTCTTTGAGCAACCTGGTCTAGTGGAAGGTGACCCTGCTCATGGCAGGGGGGTGGGACTAGAAGGT